TATTAGCTTTATCTCAAAGTCCAAGCCATGCTAGATGTCGTCTCCACTGGTGTGAGTTTGGTGCTGTGCATGAGGGCAGGGGTGTCAGTGTGTTAATTAGGATGAGCTGTGAGGGCGACTTTATCAGACTCACCTATTCATTAAAGCCCTCCAATCTGAGCGAAAGATGTTTTATTTATCAACAGCCAGAGGCAGATTCACCAGGACACCTGCATTGCATTTCATAGTCCTCTGACTCTAACCTGAGTCTGTTGCTCTTAAGTTATTAGAAAAATAATCAGAAATGTTTTATAACAAGGATATTTTTTGATGCAATAAATTTTCAAAATAAAATACTTGTGCTTGAAAAGAAAATATAAATTCAAGTATATATAAACCTATACTTATATAAATATACATATAAGCAAGGAGAAGGTCTGAATCCTTTGTATGAATATAAGAACTTTGTCCCCCTCCCCTCTCAAGCTCTGATCCCTGACTCCCCAAATGGGTGTTCAGTAGCTGCACACTGACGTCAGTACAGGAGAAGTGCACCAGTTCTGCCTGGAAAAGGCCTGGCGCTCATTAATATTCCCGGCTCCAGTCTCTAGAGTTCTCTTTGGGAAAAAAAAATCCGATCATTAATAAGAGAGAAGAAGGTTCCCCATTTTGAAATGATTGTTTCGTGACACCGGTGAAAAAAAGGAAAAACCGACAATTCATTTCATCTCCATTTTTAAAAGACACAATATTAATAGCAAGTTGGTAACTGATGTTTTTGAGAGGAATTGTTATTTTTTCAGCTCCATTTCCACTGCTTTTGAACTTCAAACACGTGCCAACAAGTGACCTGAGGGTTCTTCGGTGGATGTTGTGTGTGCTAACAGACCCTTTAGAGTTATCTGAAAGCTGCCTAAAAGCAGAACTTCACTCTCTTAGTTACATTTTCCCGAGTTCTCAACGTTCATCTCCTCCAGCTGTGACCTTAGGACTTAAAAGCATTTTCCACTGACAAACCCACAAGATCAGTATAAAACAGATGATGCAAACTACATTTGTGCACCTGTCTGTAACATTACTAAAAGTACACATTGAAGTAAATGCCAGGAGGACAGAAATGGGCAAGCAATTGGTATCTTAAGTTAAGGTAAACAAGAGAAAAAAAACGAACAGACCGAGTACCAATTCTGAAACCCTCAGGCGTAGAGTTGACTCCAGGGCTGTGTTTTAATAAACACCTCAGAACCCAGCAGCGACCGAGCCGGATGCCATGATCACATTAACACCAAACTGCTAATCTTTTTGCCTGTCACAAAAACAGTAGGCGCTGCTTAGCCAAATGGGCCAAATGTAGTTTTAAACCCCATGTTAATTCCACAATGCGAATTAAAATCTTGCTTTGCAGGAAGGATGAAGTCATATTCCAGACTGCTTGTAACTAAAACGTCTAAGAAAACTCCCACCCACACTGGTCCTGGCGGTACATGTCTGTCTGTTTTCACTTTCTTCCCAAGTCGCCCTTTTATTTTTACATCTCTAGATGCAATCGTTCTTCCCAGTCAGTGTCTTGCTGCCCAGCCCGACAAAATAATCAGAAGAGGTGCATCCCTCTTTGTAAACGGTTATTGAGAGAAACACAACAGCAGCTACAAAACCAAACGCGAAGGTCTGAAAAATACATCTTTCACAAGGACAAAGAAGAGGGGGGAGAGCGATTTTAGACATTGCAATTTTAGACATTCTGCATTGATAGACAAAGTCTGAGTGCTCCTCATCCAGACTTAGCTTTTGCAGAGATTTGTAATCCCCGACTGATGCAAACTAGGGTGTGTTATGTTTGATAAAAGCAGGTTTGAAATTTGCATGTTGATCCTGGTTAATTTGTATTTCTAGGTATATATTGTGAACCGTATGTTCTATTGCCATCTTTAAGAGCTGCTTGCATGTTGTGGAGTATCTGTGCAAGTGCTTGCTGATAGATAGAAGCTGGCCAGGGTGTGAGCTGCTGTTTATCCCTCATGTGCTGGTGAATGGAGGGACTGCAGCCTGCAGTAAACACAGCTCCTGATTCTGAGTGCCAATGCCCAATCAGGGTCCCCTCGCTCTCATGACCAACAGATAAGGTAGGAGTGCTTATTGCACATTGGCACTGCTGAGTCTTGAAGCAGTGCCAGGACCTCGCGGTGCCCCGGTTTTTAATTTTTCTTATTATTTCCCCAAATGTTGTAATTTTTTTTCAGTTTTTCCCTTTACTGCAGTGGTATTGATTGCTGTGCCAGTGTTTTCTCTCAGGAGGCTGGAAGTGTCACTTTATTGATTTACTTGCTGCATTAATTTAAAACGATTCAGTAATATTTCACTCAGCCTTTCTTAAAGAAGAATAACAAGAAAGCTCTTTCCTCCGGTAGTCTCACAAAGCAGACTGCTTTATGCAGTGGTCTGGAGTGAAAGGTCACAGTGAGGTCTTTCTCTCCTGGGAGGATTAAAATATATTTTTTTCTGTACTTATATCAATGTGAACTCAAAGGCAACTCTGAGCTGAAACTGTTGAAAACTATTTCCCAGATGATGCCTCAACAAGTCATTATCTTAAAGACAAAACCAGATGTAATTGCTTATTTAGAAATTTGAAACACAGTCTCAACCTTCTAGAAAGTCAAACAGACATGCTGTTGGTAACCCCAAACCTTCTATAAAGCCTAACCTGGAGTGAGTATCTTCTCAGTCCCAGTTTGGGTAAGTGTTAGTTTCCACTTCAAATTAGACATCCAAAGAGGTTATTTTTGCTTATTCCCCATATCTTTAAAGTGAGTTTTGAAGTTAGTTTATTTCAATCTCCCCTTTTTTCACAGACTGATTTTGCATGCGTGGTGATTAATAAACTCTATTTAATTTTGAAAGTTTTATACTAAAATGTAATTTTTACTGTTATAGCTGCCCTTTCTAGATTCAGAGTGCAAAATCTGGATAATTCATAATCTTAGGATCAGAGCAGTAAGAAGCACAGGCTTTTCTGGAAAAGTCTTTAAGCCACAGACAAACTCTATTACCGTCCTTGTACTGGCTAGACTTTTTTATGCATGGATTTTTGTATGTATCTTAAAGAAATGTTTTAAAGTCTCTAAATAATCTGAAAAGACGAATCCTTCTTCTGTTTTGGTTGGTTTCTGGTTTCTGGTCCCTGCTGAGCAGCGGGTGTATGTATCAGACTCTGCATCAACCTCCTCTTCAGTTGGCCTATGGATTTGGTACAGTAGCTCCACTTGGATGGAGATGCACAGCAGGGTAGGTGGTGCTGTGGGAGATGATGTCATTAGTACTTTTTTTAGAGGCCGAATCAGGATGTTCCTGAGGCTGTCCAGAACCACATGATCATCAAAAGGTCAAGTGCACAAAAAGACGAGAGCTGCATTGTGGACACAACGCGTTAGGAGGAAGGTCATCTGAATCCATTGTTCCTCACTGCTGAATTTCCATTTCTGAACTGCACTGGGGGGCCTTGATGAATATTCTCCACTGCGACTGTGTAGTCAATGACCTTCAGTTTCTTAAACAACCCTGAGTATTGCTGTCCTCTGGCAGATCACGGTATTCATCTATCTTAGGGGTATTGTGACTTTGTTCTGTACTAAATGTGGGCTAAAATTATCATCGCACATAATTCTGCAAGGACCACACTATATAGATGCACCTGGAATGCACACTTATAATTTAACTCTCAAATGCCATGTGAGCACCTTGCCTGAAAGAAGAGGATCACATGCATAAGTTGGAGCCTCAATTCCCTGTTGTCCAGAAAGCTCCCACCAATATTATTGTATTGTTTTATTTGTTGAAACTGGAATGGCCACCCACCCAAATGTTTTTCATCGTAACAGATTACTTGTAGCAAAAGCATGAAGGGAACCAGATGAAGCTCTTTAAGTCACACTCCTCAGTCATTATTGGTTGCCAGAAAACCAGTTTCTGCCACAATTAACACAGTGCCTGCGATGGTGTCACAGCTGGATCTGCAGTATTAGGATGTCTTACTCCCAGAGAAAAGGCCTTAATGCACATTACTAGCTGTAATGTGCATCTCCCCTTTCAAGCTGAACACCATGTTGTTTCTTACCTAAAAATGGAAGAAGAAAAAACACTTCTATTCCAATGTCATATTTTGACATTTATCCTTTTTTTGTGGTTTATGTGCAGTCAAATGGTACACTAGTACATCATTTACCTTCTGATCAGTGCCAATGGGATCTGCATATAAATGATGCTAAACAAGACAGCCTGTACAGTACAAATTGTTAATGATCTAAACATAGAATATCCATCCATTCATTACCAGAAAGCTGAACATTCCTAGTCAGGGGGACAGCAATCAAGTCTATTGCAGAAGCATGAGGTGCAAGACAGGACCCCACTTTGGATGGGATACCAGTACATTGCAGGACACTCACAAATATACTGTACAGGGACAATCCGGGGGCAGCAGTCAATCCAGTCTGCATGTCTTTGAAAGGGGGAAAAAGAAGAGAAACTCATGCAAATCTAATGGGAACATGCAGACTCCCCTCAGAAGGTGTCCCAAGATATAATAAGACCCAGGGCATAGGAGTTGTAATGCACCCATCGTGATAGCTCTTTACAGTGCTTCATGCAGTTCAGCTAACAGTTTTAATTGAGCTATTTATTAAAGGATCCATGGAAAATAGGTTGTCATTTTGAAGAATAAACGCAGCTGCTCTACAATTAATTCTTCGGTGCGAGTATATATATCTTATCTGCTGAATCTATGTACAGTCGAGCTTGTTTTTCATGTCTGAACGGAGACAAATTGTAAAAAAAATATTGTAAAAAAATTATACAAGGAAGACCCGTACAATGATTGACGATGTCGCCAAGCAGACCTACCTGCCTCTGCAAACTGATCATCATCATCATCATCATCACCGCGTGTCACCTTTCTTGCCGATGAAGAGTTAAAACAATGATTTTTATTTGCCTCTAGAGGTCAGTGTGGAGAAAATTTAAACCTGAAGGGTTGGGACTAACATAAAGACGGAGATACAGGGAGGAGGGGGGTTTGATAAAGAATATTCGTCTCTAGTCACAGTAACTACACATGACTTGAGCAGTTGTAAGGTTTTCATCTTCCTGTTTCTCCCAGCCACACGCAGTAAACCAGGAGCGTGTCAAAAATGCTCTTTTATTTTCGGAAGAAATGGTGTTCTGATATGAAGTATTAAGTTTTAAGGCTACGGGAGAAACGGAGAATAACCAGCAGGGCTTTAGAGATTGAGGTGGGATCTCTGGGGCTCGCTATGGAGACGACCTCTCAACGCTGGCTGAAGTGAAGGAGCAGGGCACGAGTTTTCTGCAGATAACCATTAGCTGAAGTTTGTTTAGGGTTAAGGTATTATTTTGTGTTATTTTTGTATCGAGTCGTTTGTTTGCGTTTTTTTTTTGGAAACATTAGTGAGTGATGGACTCGTGAGATGGGAGCTGCACGCCGCCTTTTGGTAAGTTTCCAAAGTGTGAATGTCGCTTGTTAAATTAATCTGTATGCCCGGTAATGTGTCCTTTCGTTAAATTGTTTTCCTTTTTCTCCGAATAGGCTGGGGACTAGTGCTATTCTTTAAAACTAGAAAGGAAAAACAATATCTTTCTTTTCTATCCGAACGTAGTTCTGTTGGTTTATAATGGAGTGATAACTTGTGTAATAATATCTAATTTGCCTGTAATTTCACATTTGTTTTCAATTAAGTTAAAAAGAGTCGCGTTTATCGTTTTTGTTTTAGAAAGTCTGATTTTCGAAATAGGTCCTTGCAAAAAAAAAAATGCCCCTTTAAAATACTAAATTGTGTCTTGTGCGAGAAATAAGTTACATTGAAAGCCTTCCGGTCCCTGTTACTCAGCTTTGTTACTAAGCACAGTACGTGCTGTATCAGCATCTGTTCTGAGATATTTAGCCTACTTGTTTTAATTTTATAATGAATATTTATTTTATATCTCTGCGATATTTGTTAATTCATCTGATCTCATCTAGTTTTTTTTTTCTACCTGTAAAATTGTTACTGAAATTATTTTCATACCTGATGTTAACCCCCCCCCCAAAAAAAAAAAACTCCCCGTCAATTGGACGTTAATGTTTGCTTTCTGCGACTTCACTTCATATTATATTCCTAATGGACTTTTCCTTTGGCGCGACAGGATTTATCTTTGCATCGATTTTCCAGCTCTTAATGTTTGCTAAACACACAACTTGTACAACAGCTGCGGAGCTGAGGAAATATAGCACGTTGGCTTCTGTTTGTGCAAGAGTTTGATGCTGGTGACTAGCTGTGATGGTAGCTGCAACATCTAAGCCTGGAACGCCTCCACTTAGCGAGGAACAGCAGAAAGATATAGTCAACGCACTGTAAGTGTGGTGTGTGCGGTGTATAGAGACCACAGATAAGCAAACGGATGAATACGTTAGGCAGTGACATCGGTCTGGTTTGGAACCACAGACAGTATGTGTGTGGTTTTGTCTACTGTGTAGATTGTGCAATTTTCTGTTCCTGTACCTGTTCTTAATGAACCGTTTTTTCGTCTGGCACGGATGTCAGCAGACCAGGACTTCTGGTGGCCTATAGCTGGTCTTGAAGCTAGCTTATTAAATGCAGTTGTGCTTGTCATAAGATTGGAAGACTGTGTGGCTTGAATTTCACATTGTGTACCTTTACTTAAGCCGATCTGTATTGCCCATATTGTAATATTGATGCAGAAAAAAATTTAATCTGAGTATCAAACATTACTGACCTGGAAGTGTTTAGTTTCATGCTTTTATTTCTATTTAGATGTTCTAAAATGTGTTAAGCCTGTGGTTTTACAGCAAACACCACACCTTGAGTAGATGGAACATACACATGGGTCTAGTAAAACAGCAATTGGTCTTAATACACTTCCTCGTTTGTGAGAGAAGGTCAACAAACTTCTCAGAACTGGCTGGCGTTTCTCTGGGTTGGCTTTGTTTCAGGCTGTACCCTGTTAATCCAGAACCCCTCACGTTTGTCTAGTGGGAATACAAAACATTAATAATGATAAAGATCTGTTTACACTGCAGCTGTTGAAAGAGCAAAGCAAAACCTCTTTTGGAAGCCCACTAACAGCTGTGATGAACTAGTTAGTCATGAAAGATTTGTTTGCACATTCATTATGCAAATTTCACAATGATGTGTGTAACCTGAAGTGAGGTTGGAAAATGTCTGTCATACAATCCTTTCTTAAAATCTAATGACCTAGTTTGCTTAATGTCACCTGGAAGAGATAAGAGTACTAGGGTGAAACTATGAAGATTTCAAGAGAAACAAACTTTCATAGTACACCCAGCCGGAGAGATTAGCCCAAAAGGCTGCTGGCCATCTAGTTCAGAAAATAATTTATTGACCTTCTCTTCAAAGCCTGTGTGTTTATGTGCTTAGAGTAATGAGGTGCTTTTCGAAAAGACGGAAATTAACACTTAAAGCCAAATTTTTTAGCTTTAAAAGCTAAATTTTTTTTTAAAGAAAAATTCAGGACACCATCATGTCTTTTGAAGCTCTGTAATCGGTTATGTAACCAGAACTGCTTCAGTGTGTTGCAGAGCCCTTTCTCTGAACCTTGCAGTATTCTCATGAAATGATGGATCAGTTTGGCTTGTGTCTTTGCAATTAATTTACTGTTAAACGTCCTTTCCACACCTCTCGGTGATTCCTGATGCTGGAAGAGTCTGAACAGCAGCAGGTCTGTCCTCCCAAGAGCCGTGTGCTGCCGCGTGCGGGTTTTGACTCTGAGGCTCATGTTCTCTTTCAGAGTGTTCAGGAAGTCCATCCAGCAGCGTGTTGATCTGGCGTCTCTCAAGTCCAGGGTCTTGAGTCTGCAGTAGTGGTCTGCTCAGGCAATTCAGTGCCTTCGATTCATCTGCTAGCTGCCACATTGTCTCAAAAGCCATGCTGGTGAAAGAATACCGGATCTGCATGCCACTTACGATGGAGGAGGTAAGGCATCTAATGTGATCGATTTGCTCTTCTGTATGCTGCTGTGACATTACCATCACTAGTTAAAATATATATGTGAGCGAGCACGCAGGAGTACTGGCTTTAGTTGTAGTTGACATTTTGAATAGTGCTCTGGTGTAGCTAATGTAAATCTCTTTATGCTGCTCTCACATCAGGGCACTAATCGCAAAGGCCTGATGCGCAGTAAAACATATTTGGGTGCACACTGACAACTGTATTAGCCAAAGCAGTAAATCTGTTTGATCTGTGCATAATTGCTAAAAGCGGGAATGAAGCCCTACGGACCAGATATTTACAAAGGAAAGTGTATGCAAAATTCTGTGTATGGCATCAGTTGGTGTTGTGGCACACAAGCGGCCCTTAAGGAACATTGGGATTGCTCCATTACACGCCTGAAGGTTCAGGTTTAACAGTTGCTTTCATTGTATTCTTCTGTGTTTCTGTGTATTAAAGAACTGTCATGGCAAGTATTTCTAGAACTCTCAAGAAAAAGGTCTAAAAACCTCAAGAGAAAGGTTTAAAAAAACTCACTGCGTTGTTTTCAGAAATCCAGAACTGGTCTTACCTTTCATGTTACACGCGCATTTGTGATGGAAATTCTTTCAAACGTCCATACATTCTGCATGAGCCCAGGATCATTACCCTGTGATTAAAAAGTTGGCTTTTGTTTTTTGTTCTTTTCAAGTTAAAAGCAGCTTCCCTTGCTACGGCATTGTAGCTTGGAGTATCGGTTAAGGTGGGAGAGCAGGCCTGTGTCCAGGATTGCTGGATATTATTTGTGGTCACTTGCAGTGCCCGTCCCACTTCGAGATGTGAAAATAAGAGCCCAGGGCAGGGACTGACATGGAAATGGTAGCCCCTGCTGCTTGCTGCTGTCCATTCCTTCCTCCTTCTTCTGTAGCAAAGGGAAGGACCCTTGCAGGCTGTTAGCCAGCTTGGAAGGCAGGCAGGCAGGCAGGCAGGCACTTTGCGGTTTGAACGCAGGATGATTCCTCGCTGAGTCACTTCCTCTGGAGCCTTTCCTCCTGGCAGTCCCGTGTTCGCGCTATGTCAGATATTGCTGCTCTGGAGTGAGACTGCCTGTCCTGTCAGAACACCCGGGGGCATGGTGTTAAATACAGAGCCTCCCAAGCAGGCTGTGGGAAGCTCCCATTTCTCTGCGTCTTGGCAATGGAGACAGTGGGCTCCGTGCATGGTGTGGTGGGGTGCAGATGTTTTTTTCCCCTCTCTCTGCTTCGTGCTGTTGGACGTGTTTTGGGCTTTTGGTTGATACTTTTATTATGACCATGATAATGGATATTATTACTACTAGTGCTGCTGCTGCTATTCCTAATTGGTCCAGTAATGTTTATTTCACTTTATGAACTGGTCTTGTGGTGTAGCTAACCTATGAACAGCAAGAGATTTCTGGTTCTGGCGATTATAAATAAACATACATGAAAATGATTTTACATGTATGTTATGATATGAAACCTATTCATATTTAGGGATCTCTAGTTTAGGTAAACAGTGTTGGTTATTACGCTACATTTCTTGTTCTCAAATTGGCGTCCTGTGTAGAGGTTTGTATGTTTTCCAGGGTGTACTCTGCCCTGTGCCCATTTCTTGCCAGGTTAGGCTCTGGTGTTCCCTGTGACCCTGTACTGGATAAAGTGGTTCGAAAAAGAATGCTTTCTGTCTTCTGCCTGTAGAAAGTCTCTCCTGGAAAGTGAAAAAGTTTTTTTTTTAATGACATTGTGTTTAATGTACTCTGTAAAGATTTTTACTGCTCTTTTAACTGAAAAAGAAGCCTGTAAGGTCTGATAAACTGAGATTGCTTTTCTGCCAGTGAAACAATGAATGAGGGATCATTACTTAGTGAACTCATGTGGGTGGGGGTGTCATTTAGTCCAGGGATTGATCTGTCCTGTTTTACAAGTTAATGAGGAATTTATCAGATGGAAATAAAAACAGTTGTTAAGACTGGTGAGAAATTGTTTTAGCACAGAAAGATCAACTATGGCATTTTTATTGTAGTTTGTACAGTACTATTAGAGTCATTTTACATCTCTATATACAGTACATGATCAAAATCTATTTTGGCCTTATTAGTACTAAACTGTTTTTCACACTATATTGAATGGACCGGTTTACTATGGAAAGAATGGGATTTTACTTAAGTAGAGGTCAGCAGTGTCTGTTTTTAATAAAGCTCTTGGCATCAGTTCTCCTGTTTGCCATTTGAGTGACCATAAACGGTGCAGGAATTGAAATTCGGTGCTTCTAAGGTGTTTTCAGTAGGTTTTTCTAATGTGATTCCAAGATTCTTATTAAACAGCATAATGTAATACTCTAGTGTTACTCTTATTTCATTTTTCTTTTCTCTATATAAATCACTTTGAGATGTTCCAAGAGTGAATAGTGCAAATAAAATCGATTTATTACATGGGTTATTATTCTCATTTAAGAAGAAAACCATGAAAAGCAATAGAAATAATCCACAGCTGACAAGCTCTACCGGATTCTTGAGACGGAGGCTGAAATTCCCAGGAATTTGAACTCAGTCTGAAAGTTGTCTGTTGTCCGCATGGCTGGTGGGTGTTTGACGTCAGATGTGCAAATTTTTTCCTCTCTGTGAAATTAAAAACATGTCTAAGGATATTATGACAATAGAACTGAGAGGAGGGTGAAGGTTCACCAGAGATATGTTATGCAGTTATGTTTTTATTTTATTTGGGTTAGATTTTATTTCATAATTTGCTTTCAAAAGCCTACTTTTTAGTCTAACAGGGCAAGTTTTTAAAGCTGAAATATTTCAGTAGTATAGCATTATGCAGTACTGTATGTGCATTTGCAACTAACATTAGTGATCTTGGAATAAATGAGTCATGTGTGCTATGAGATTTTAAATCTTTGTCGAAGTCACAGTTGGCTTTATGTCTAAAACGCAGATGTAGACATTTAAAATCTTTTGATTAAAAGGAAGAGGGTCTTGTGTTTCTCATTGTTGTTTGCTATGCTTAGCAAGGCATCTGTGGGCACGACAATTTCTCTGAACGAAATGGTTTCAGAGCAGAGCGAGCCATGTGAAGCTACTTCTAAAGTCAGGATTGTATAATTCTCTATAAAAGAGGCACAAAAGTAGGCAACTCGCATTTGTATTCCTGTCAACAGCAAATCATACTTATTCAGCAGCAAGAGGCACTTCACAGAATACAAGTTTGCGCGTAGGTGTGCAGTAACGTTTCCGAATATCCTGCCTCGCATGTCAAGATGTAGTCGGACTGAGCTATCTCACTTTTTTCCAATGAAAATTTCCTATTGGTTTCTCCATTCCACGCGCAGTCCTGTTAATGGAGCAGTGTCTTCACTAGACACTGTTACAGACCACATTTAGGATGTGCACGCTGATTGATTGATTTATTTCCATATTTAACGTGCAACGTCGCAGCTCTGCTCCTGGAGAACAAGACTGCCCAACCGGTTTTTGGGCTCCGACTTGTTTTAAACTCCATTGTCCGTCTGTGGAAAGCTGATGCTTGCCAGATTAATATCCACAAGTTCCTGTTGGCTCCTATACACAGAGACCTGCAGCTGGTGGGAGTGGAAACGGCTCAGGTTGCTGTGCAACAGTAGCCTGAGACCCTGAATATGGTCCAGGGCTCTACATGGAACTTTTGGACCCATCTGTTTTTACTTGAGCTCCTGTTGCACTGTTGGGCACCCCAGACCACGCTAGATACAGAAGGGCTTTCTCATTCTGGAATTAGTGGCTTCTGGAAGGAAAGCAAGTCACAGTCTCTGTGGACTGTATGAGGAAGTGGACTTAGTTCAAATGTATTGCGTTTTAATTAAAACTCTGAATTTTAGTTTGCTTTCTGTAAGCCCGTGTTATTGTAGTTTTACTGTTTTCACATCACATTTCTAAAACAAAATCAGTATGCATAACAGAGCATTTTTGCTGGATTTGATGCACTTTTTATCTTTGCAATAAAACTTGAATATGAAATCTGCTTTTCCCGTGAAATTAGGTTTCCAATAACGGGATCGGGTCATTTGATATCGCCCATTTTAATGTAAAAAATCTTTGTGACACAATTCCCACATAATTGATTCGAGTGCATACTTGACATGGACCTTGAATTTCATACTAAAATTGTAGGTAAGCCACTACAGTGATCACCATGGAAACTTAGTGACTATACACCATACAGTTGTCTCTTTCTAACACGGCAGGCTCTGTCATCTGCAGCGCTAAATAAAAGAATACTGAGTAAGGGATGCACCTTGTTTTCATCTTTGCTGTATTCATCCAGGTAATTTGTTTTGTGAACAATTAATGGGACATTCTTTTGTTATGAATAAGAAGAAAAATAGACACACTTACCTTTGTGTTCAACTGTATAAAGTGTAAATTTACGGCAGATGCCCTCTCAGGGAAAAGAGGTAGCATCACAACAGTAGTGAGAGGGTTTTTTCTTTTTATGCTTGGCACAAGAAGCATGTATTTCTTATACAGTGGAAAGCCCTATAACAGTAAAGTTCAACTGATTCTCAGAATAAGCTTGTTCTTAATGTGGTCGGGGCCTGTGTTGTCGGAAACGTGAAATACCCGATTTCCTGTATGTATTAACAAGGTACAGTATGTTACCATAGCGATGTTTGTCATCATGGAAAGTTCAGTCCATCTTGATTCTGGCAGGCTGAACTGTCTGATTGTTTAAAACAGGATTTACTTACTCTTGAATCTGAGGAGGTATGTGTATATTATCCCTGTCTATCAACTCTGCTCTACAAGGTTTCCTTTAAAAGGGCATGTGTCATCTTTCACAGTTGCCTTGAAATGTTCTTGTTGGTTAAAAGCTTATAGCATGCGTTTCTGGAGAAATTAAATCTCTTAACTTTCCAGTCCTTGATATCATGTGTTCATCTTTGACATCTAGATCCATTTCAGGTGGGAGAAGTCCCCTCCCTGCACACAATTTAAGATGATAAAAACATATTTCCCTCTAAAATTGAATCAAGTACCAGAACAATTTATCTTGCATTCAAATGGTTTTCACTAAAAAGAAACCATGCCTGCCATGTTACTTATTTTTAAATGATTGAAATGAATGTAAAACCATCTGAACCACTTTTGGAGGCTGCTTTCATAGTTTTATTGGAATGATAAAGCTTTAAAATTGAGGAGGATAACTAAAATAAATGTTATTTTTGTATTTCTTTAACAAGGCCTTAGCCTCAGATCTTAGCCTTGCACATGTTTTTAAAACATTAAATGAAGATCCTGTACAGATGTTTGTCTGTGCTGTTTGCTGAAGAAAAATACACTAAATGTGTTTTGCTCTGTTGTTAGTCTGCAGGTAAAACCAACTAAACAAACTCCACCAAAAAGGCAGGGACCCAAATGTCAATAGAATTTAGATTTTACAACAGGTGTTGGGAAATACATGACAGCATTGTATTCCAAACAGGTTTCCCTTCATTAACATTGCAGATCATTAAATTATAGGCCCTTTTATTGAACGCAGGCTGTGGGCTGTGTAAAGGCGAAAGCTCTTTTATTAAAGATTTTGCCACATTTATTCTTTGGTGGCTTCAGAAGCACATTCACCAGAGTTGATGAGTTAACTAAAATTTCACTGGCTATTACAATTTGGAGCACAGTTTAAGAGCAGACTGTTTTTGACAGTCTGCGTAATAACGCTTGACCTCAATTAAAGCAAACCTTAAACCAACCCTTAAATGATAAACTCGGTACTTGATTGGCTGGACTTTGTCTTGCCAACGAATCATTAACAGCAGTTTCCCAAGTTCTATTGAATCAATTTGTGGTACATGTTCTGTTTCACCCTAAAGTTTACAATTTTCATGTGGGTATTTAGTACAGTAAACCACAAGACATTTGCACAGAGATAAATTATGCATGGTTCTGGCACTGTCAGAGAAGCTTTCTGCGTTTTATAGAGAGGACTGAATGAGGTCCTTGGATCAAATAATTAGCCACCAAACGAGTTGGATGACTCAGAACCACCTTCCAGCAGTGCAACGTAAGAGCAGAACGCAAATAAAACTTGATATCTCACAGCACAAGTTAAAGCATTTACTTGTATCATCTGTTGGCAGTGAAACAACTTTCAGCCAGTGCTGAAATCTTCCTATTTCCCTGCAGGGTTTACATGGTAACGACCTTTAGTAAAAAATTATATTATCTTAAACTAGACTTTACTGATTCAACAATATTATAAGGGAACCAAGGAATACATTGGGTTGGCTTTTTATTAAAAAGTATTTCTGGTTTCGCAGGGCATTTCCCTGTGTAGGAGAAAGGATGAATTTTTAAATGTCAAAATAAATTGCGCTTCTGTTTCACTCATAAATAAAGCCGGACTTGGCTGTTTCTCAGAGCTTAGGGTTAGGAAGATTGGGTAGCAAAGTGCATTTTGATTGGCTAATAAGATGTCATGAAAACATCTTGATGATAAAATCTTTTTTTAGTCACAAATGCACTTTATTTAAAGGGATCCTCACTCAGTAAGTGATAAAAAGTGTATTTATTTAAGGTACGGTTAATGGTTTTTAGTGACTGTTATTCAGTTCTCACAAAAAGAAAGTATTATTCTGTTAAAGGAGGTAGCTGCATCAGCATGTGTAGGCTGCAAAGGAACAGGTTTCTTCCATGCTGAAAAGAAAAAAGAGACAGCACGTTGTGGCTGTGGAGCCTTCTTCTGGTGTGTCTTATTTTGCCTGCCTGTGATAGACGTGTAAAGCTGTCATTTCACTGTTGTGGTGCTCTCCCAGCTCAGTCAGCTGCTTCTCAGTAAGGACCCTGTGATGCCTCTGGGCTCCTTTTCACTGGATCAGCCACTGTGAGGTCAGCAGGAGCTGATCTGTAAGTACTGTATGCTGAGCTCTAGCACCAAGGGCGTCCTGAATACATTGCTGCATATTTCATCTGGTCTTTCATCTGCCCAAGATCCAGGGGCGATTTGTTTGACTTCACTACCTCTTCTCACCCACCCTGCGGAGGACTTAACTCGGCACAATAGAAGAAACATGTTGTGTACAGCGGACCGGGAGTTTTGGACTGTAAGATTGTATGTGCTAAGGGCAACTTCAATGCAATTGGTTTTATCTGCCTTGTGAAATGTCATGTTATCGGCACTTGACAAATCGGCAAATTTATTACTGCCAGTTCTGTAAGGACGTTTCCTCCCAGCTGCCAGAATCTGACTGGTTGCTGTTCATTTGATCTTTTGTGTCAGTCTCTTGTTTTTTAGCGTACATTTTGAGTTTGGAGGACAGCAATTTGAAAAGGTTGCTTGTGATGCTTCACATTTAGTTTTGAGAGAAATAAGAATGTAAAGCATCACTTCCTAGCTCAGTAGACGGATACTACACTGTCCACTAGTGCTCTCGTGGTTTGTCGTCTGAATCATGCTTGTTTTCATATTAAACAGTTGAAGGTTTCTAAATATTGAGAGCTTCCGTTATATTCCTGCCATTTTGAGGAAAAGGGTCTTAGAAACTTTTGTGACTCTTTAAAAAATCTGTCCTTCAGTTACTTTTTTCCTTTGAAATGATTCAGCTGTTTATACCCTGTGAATAGTTGTATAGAAAGATTTTTTATCTTCTGAAATACTCCACAGTGTTTGTGATAAATTCCGAGAAATTGTTTTGTTTTAAATACTGTGATGGATGGCCCCCTCTCTTTCAAACACAGATGCTGCCTCTTCTCCAGAACAAGTGTTTTCTTCATTTTATTGGAGCATGGATGTCAGCCCTGTTTATTTTTGTGGTAAGACCAGTAAAACGTCTTTTGGAGAATTTTTCCAAAGGGAGGTGTGTTCATATGTAGCTTTCTGCATAACCAAGTATGTCATTGTGTGTAGTAGCGTATTTATCAGGAGAAATAAGGCTGAAAAGCACTGTGGCAGCTCTGTGAAGCAGGTTTTATGATATGAGGGCTACCTGATTAATGTGATCTTAATCAATGGCGGCAGACCCACCCCACTCCGTAGCTCCCAAGTGACGATGGATCATTAACGGCTGCTGTACTGCTGCTATTTTTAGCCTGTCCTTGACATCAATCTGACGTCAGGACCTAAGTATGAGACGGTGATGTATTGGCTCCTAGGGTTGGTGGGGGTTCGAAGTGGGGAGTAGGGTGGGGGTACACTGAGATTCGGTCCGTAACCCTTGCTGTGCTGAACTGAAGCCTCTCGATCACTTGTGGAGGAATGACTCTTCCTTTGATGCACCTCTGTGGTGCCACTTGTGGGAGGAAGTGTTGGTTCCTATGGAAACGCAAAAGCGTTAAAAACAGAGGAGAAGAAAAAAATATTCCAGTATAACATGCTATAATGGCTTAATATAATAAAGGACAGTTTGTGTTAATGCTGTCAATGTCTTACAGCGTCTTTTATGCAAACTTTTCACAATGGCTGATCATTAGTAAGAACCTATATCGTTCACTTTTTGTTCAGGCCTGCTTGCTCGGGAGAGTGGTGGAAATGGAGATGATCAAGTCCGTGGACATGTACAGTGTTCAACCCTGTTGGCAGATCTAGTCACCAGTTGTTTTCGAGACCTTCTGGGGATATCTGGTTTGGACCTGCAGTCTTCATATTGCCTGTTAAAACCACCTTGTATTTGGCGCTTTCCGAACAAAGAAAGGGCAGCCTGCTTAGCAAATGTCTTGTGATTCAGAAGCCAGTGGGAAGGGAAAAGAAACAGAACATTTATTTTAGATTCATTAAAACCTCACCTTCTGTCTATAGCACCTCTTTTTAATTATAGGTGGTAATAGAAAATCCTTTATTCCAGTGCCCTGTTATTTGCCAAGGTCTACAAGTACACCAGATGGTGCTTTGCGCTGCGGACTAATTAATAGACTGTAGACAGTCTGTATGCGCTAATAGCTGCTGAGAATTTATAAAACGGATTCTGGTCTGACAGGCATGGCAGCTTCGGACTACATATGGGCTGGATTTCAGTTCTTGTGTTGCTGTCTTGGATTGAGGAGAGTGTGAAAGATTTGGAATAAGGATTTATCTGCATGCAAGTTTCTATCAAGAGCAATTCAGTTGATCAGCTTGATGACTATAAAGGTGGCAGGCAGTTTGAGGGTTATTAAATGCACGTGTCATATCAGTGTCTTAATCAGCAGAGCTGATATAGTTAGTTTTTTTTATAATTTCCAATGTGTGTTCACTCATAACGAGTGATTAAAAGGAGCGCCACCTCTCCTCTCCATTCTAATGAATACGTTTCCTCTCCTGTCATACTGTACTACTGCAATTTCAAACATGCATATGGGAACTCAAGATTTTTGGTATGGAGTGATCCTCTTTTTGGATAATATGCTTGTAGGTCCGTACACTTGTTGCCTGGTTTTCAAGTTCCCCCTATATTATCAAATAATTGCTTTTTGAGCTTCTATCACCCCAAGTTTGTTTGATTTGCTTTGAAGAGTTGGTGCTCTCAAGATATGAATTCACTAGGGTGTCGACGCCCGTTCCTCATTTGTCCTAAGCTTTCCTGTGCTCATCAAACCTGATTCCAAGCTCCCGTCATTAACGGACTGTCTCTCCCTCCAGTACAGGATAGGACAGCTGTACACCATCAGCAAGCACAGCCATGAGGAGAGTGACAAGGGAGAAGGGGTGGAAGTGGTGCGGAATGAGCCGCACACTGACCCTGTGCATGGAGAAGGACAGTTCACGGAGAAGAGAGTCCATCTGTCCAGGTAAAGCCAACAAATGCTGTGGTACTAGATGATGATGCATTTACAGTAGGACTGATGTAAGGAGACGGTATTGAAGCAACCCCAGTGGTTTGATTCAGAAGCAGCGATGACTCTCGTTTCTTTCGATTAACGGCATCGGACTGTTCTGAAATTCACTGAGTGGAGTTTTAGATTCAGAGGTTCTGAATTCAGCATGCTGGTTTAAGCGATCCTTAAATCCTCTCTCCAGTTTTAAATATGCTTTATTGCATAAAACTAGTGTCCCGTGTGCTGTTTCATAAGTCATGGGAAGGGAATAGTGCAAAATATGATATTTTGTTGAACATGTGAAACAATAAACTGTACTGTGAGTTTTGGATGCATAAGCTATTAGGAGACAAGTTCTCATCACGCACCACATAATGAACAAAGCACATTTGTGGTGATTACAGCATTCTGTTTTATTACATTTTAATGGGTTCACTGTCTTTCACCGATAACGGTAACCAGTTTCTGGAACTCTGTGTTCTTTGAGCTGTAGCAATGGTCATAAAAGGGAAGCATATCAGCCTCTCATAATATCTGTGTGTTGTAGGAGCTTGTTTGTGCATTATTACTGTGAGGCTGGCTTTCCCTTTGCCTCCAGGGAATGTAATGGAGATTTGTCCATATTCTAATTTTATCTCTATTTTATCATGCCTTGTTTGTACATGTGCGTGTGTGTGTGTCTATATACATTGTTTTCAAAATGCTGGATGAAGAACAATCAGTAAAATGTTCTAGAACAGTATAAATCTGGGAAAATCATTCTTCCCTCTGGCACCGATTTCTCTCGTATTCATTTACCATTTTTGCAATTTGAATAGATGAGCTTGAACCTTTTCATACATCCATCTCCAGATTTATTCACATCCCTGCTACATTATAAATGAAAGTTGGTTTTAACAAAATGAGCTCCTGTGGCTCTCTTGCAGTGTGATAGCTACTCAAAGGTAGTTGAGTTTGACATCCCCTTAATGTGGAGCCCTATAAAGTGCGTGTGCGCGTGTGTGCGAAAACTGGCTCTTCTTAAAGTGGATAGAATTCCATCTTTGAAATTGAAAAGAAAACTGACCTGATGAAAATGAGGGAACATGTATAGATTTATTCCGTGCTGAAGAGATACAACATCTCTGCTGTGAAATGGCTGAAGCATTGTCTCTTCTCCTTTCAGCTTGGAATAAACCTTTACTTGTTGCTTTTGTAGCCTATGCATGCTATCATGGGTACCTACCTGGTGAAAAGGAGTAATAACACATGTACACCTAGCCAAAGTAACAATAACCCCTAATGATGTACTGCTCTTGAGGAGCATGAGACTGAATTCTATAGTCTTGGCTGGTCAGGACCATCCCCAGGTCTCGGTTCTTTACAACAGGTGGCTCAGCCTGGCTCACCACCTAACTTCGTCCTGCAAGAAGATCGGGACGTCCCGAAGAGGCTCTCCGAGCTGCTGATTGCCCAGTACTGTATCTGTGTTTTGCATGTACTGTATAATTGAAATATGCGCACAATTAATATTTTACTAGTTTTATTGTGGTTCCAAAGGACTATAATTATGATTGTGCTCAGTATTCTTAGGACATGCAATTTTCAGATTGACTCATTCAACATGGATATTGCATTTTGGAGATCATTGTCGTTGGCTGCTGGGTACCTGCGTTATGTGAAGCAAAAGTATCAAAACAAAGCGGCACACACTTAAAAATGATGATCTCATTAACTTTTCATGTATCTAGTGCTTATCCATCTCTCAGAGCAGCTCTCCCACAGTGAGCCGGCACGACTTAGCACTAATCCCCTCTCCAGTCTTCAGCTACACCTACACCTACAGCACCCGCTGTACGATGTGACATGAGAGGATTTGAGCCATGACAAGTGCAGTAATAAGAATATATTCGCCCCGGTTAAGAAGTATCCATCCATTTATACAGATTTCTGTCTGCCTTTTCTTGTTTTTCTTTATTTAAACCAGTGCTATGTAAGTCTAAATACTCTTGAAAATGAATATGCCTAAGAAAAACATTGTCGTTACAGTATCAGTTATCAGCAATGTAGCTATCGACTATCGGCCACTAAAAAACTACTATACAACTGCAGGCCTAATTGAAATTAATAACCTGTTGGTGTGTGTAATCCTGATTGACCAGGTAACTCCTTTATTCTGATAAATTTATTCTTTTATGAAAAGCACATCACAGTAGGTGTTTTGGAAGTCGGGGTACATGTACAGTAGAGTGTCAAAGATGCTATCAAATTTGCATGACTGATCTAATAGCAGCAGAGTGGCCGTCTGTTCTCAGATGTCAAACAAGGCTGGGTCTGGTCAGTATTGGAATATGAGACCTGCGAGCAAAACTGGGTAGATCTCGGTCTTTCCCAGAATCCAAGATTTCCAAACCAATTCCCTTGTATGGTAACGAGCCATGCTGCGCTATAGGAAGATCTATCCTTGAGGAGTAAGAGAAGTGGGTCCTCTCTTGTGCGTGGAGTTTGGGATCCTTGGATGAAAAAGAGCAATGCAAATGCAAGCGATCCATTTTTAATTCTGATTATCTGTGTCTGTCTCGTCCTGCAAAACAAGCTGCGAGACTCACTTGGCTAATTCTTACGAAGTCAGCCAGTTGCAACATACTTTTTTAGCCCTGAGTCCATTCATTTCCAGCCAGGATATTACCTCTGGCTTTTTCATCCCACCTGTTCACTCTCTTTAAGCTGCTTGCTTGATGTAACCACATCTTTCTCCTGGTATAGAATTTTTGTATTGTGCAGCTCCTGTTGCCAGGCAACCCTGTGTGGCATGAACTCATGTTTCAGTTTGTTCTCGAGATGTTAAAGCAAAAGGGCCAAATCTCCGAACTGGAGCTATTTTTACTACCCTTTCCCCACACGCCTTTGTAATGAAGTGCATTTTTAATAAGCTAGCTGTTGTTGACAACCACGTTTCTGGAGAGAGGGCTTGATTGAATTCCTGAATGTTTCATTGCCCCTCCATAAGGGAACAACACTGCTGCCATATTGTTACAGAGCTTTTCATGCATGTAAGAAGAGTTTAGAGCAGTTTTATTTACTATACAGACTAATGAGCAAAGTATATAGTACTGTGTTGCTGCACAATTTCAAATTTCTCACTTGCAGTTCTTTATACTGTGGTCTTTCTCTCTCTATCAGATCTCATGTTGCTGAAGTCTTGAAGGGGGTTCTCAGGGTGAGCGTTCTTGTGCAGACTAGTCACGCTGATGAGTTTGGTGAAAAGGGCCCTCCAGAAAAAAATGGCGCGTTTGAAAATTCCTGCACGGTGGATGAGGGTCGAAACAAAAAAAAAAAGGAAGGAGAGAGAGAAAAATGTGAGCATGATGCCCTTGAAAAAACGAGAAATCATTAGCCGAATACTTCAGATTTCCCAAGTGTCGTGCTGCAAAAAGTCCCTGCCTTTTTTTATAAAGGAATTACTGCTATGCGCTAATGTAGGCATGCTTTGCTTTTCTCTTAAAAATTTTGGTGGGCACCAATATCCCGATAGAAAGTGATTTTAATTTGGAGTGTAATGCCAAAGTGTTGCATTTTTAACCATAAATGGCGGAAAAACCCCCAGCTGATCTTTCCCATCTGAACTAACATAGGACTGACACAGAACGAACTTGGGCACCTCCTTTCTGAGCCCGATTCCCCGCAATGACTGCTTTACCAGACGTCACAGTGGGATAGATATTCTATTCGAGTTTTGCTCCCTCTCTCCTCCTGTGGTGCCTGTTTGATGTTGGGAGCATCTGGGAAGCTAAAGACTACCCAGCGTGAGCCGGAGCAGCAGCCACTGAGCCGAGCAGAACTCGTTCCTCTCGCAGCGTGGGAACTGATTATCCCACACCCCGAATTAACCACTCATGCTGCACTGTAGGCAGCTCTGCACACTCCAGCTCCCCGGGCACAGGCTGAGCCACAGACCTGCAGGTTGCAGGAGGGCAGTAGACGCTTACAGGGAATGAGGCTTTTCTACACAGGGAATTTGGATTCCATAACTTGAGCCCCAGTTTCATATATATTTAAATTCCCGTTCTCGTCTTTCATTCTTTATCACACTTTTTAGATAATATAGCATTCCATACATCAGAAAGGTTACATACCCTGAGCATGATTAAATCTAACTGGTGCTTTTATTCATTTAGAGTCCAGAGTAGTTGTATACCCGCTGGAGTCTCAGGATAGTCTGTTGATCAAATAAAATGACTGGTGTTTGCCATTTGGTGTTAAAAGGTGGTAATGAGACGCAGTCCAGGTACAATATGTGCTAGAGTAGTAGACGTCTTCCATCATTGTCAAGACTTTCTCATCTTTAAAATATATTTGAACATGGCTGTATGAACAGTAGTGTATGGTTATTGTCATCCTTTATAGCCTTAAAAAGAATGATTTTATTTGGTTTTGTGAATGCATATATTTTTAATGGTCCCAACTTAACAGAATTCTCATGCTTTGACCTTGGTCGAAGTTCCCAAAATATTTTCTACACCTCAGTCGATAATTGAATTGTCTTTTGTATTCTACTAAGAGAATTAATGTGTTTTCTCCGTTTTCATTAAAAACAGTAATATTTTCAGGTCCTCTCTTGTTTTCCTTGCTCATGATTTCAGGTACTCACAGAGCAGTTTATTCATATAGAGTATTGGTGCAGTGATGGAGACCTTTTCACGCTTTAGAGAGAATAGACCTGCTTAGAAAGAGAAGTTATTAATGACAGGTTTAAAGGCTACTTTTTAAAGGCTTACTTGTCAGGTAATGCATGAAAAAAATTTTACACCTTATTTCCTTTTTGTTTTTCCAGACACCGATTATAAAGTAATTTTGCACGTTTCAGTCAGAATTTTAAAATGGTCATTTGACCAATTTCCTTATACAGACGTTTGTTTTATTTTAAAAACTTGTCTGGTTAAATCCCACCATATGCCCCTCTGTGTATACCCCACAGCTCTCCCCTGGCTAGTGAATTACTGAATGACGGCTGGAATATTATCCTTTTCAGAAAAATGGTTTGGTCCGTTTCAGAAAGTGCCGTTTCATAAATTATATTTGACAACCTGCCCAATAAACTAGATTTGAGTAAGGTTAGGATCATTGATGGAATAAACAAGCTTTCATTAGTGCACAACTTTTGTATTTCTGGTGTGGCGTCAAATACCTTTGGCGTAGTGTGACCGATTTATAATGCAGCTAGAACACCAGGAATATTTGATCTTGAAATACCACAAGAAATGAAGAAAATCTAAGCCTCTTAACAGGATGCTGCTGGTTAAGTCATCAGTACCTTGTCAAGGTTTATTGCTCTGTTTTTTCATTGTCCTTAACACACATGAAACGGAAGGTGATCTGAACGCTGCAAATATTTCACCTGACAGACAGCACAGCCATGCCTTGTTTTTTAGATGCAGTTCTCAAAATGCTGCTCCTGGACTTTTAATCAGAGTGCCAGTACTCTAGGTTAATAACCAATCCAGTCTCAGCCTGCCAGTAATGGTGTGGCTTTTAATCACTTCTAATTGGTGACACATACAGTACCTCACTCTCCAGAGGCACAGACTCATCTAGCTGTTGAAAATAGTAAACCAGGATTGACCGCCAAGTCTATTTATAGCCCCGCGCACTGAAAGGATTCTATTCTGGGAAACATTGTTATTCCACCTCACCCTCCCTTGGGGGAGTTGAGGCAGGGGGGGTTGATGTAAAATCAGAAGCAAGCGTGATTGGATTTTCTCCTTCTTTTGTAATCAGAGGAGTACTCTGCCTGTAAATGACTCCACTTATCACCATCTTCCTTTTGAAAAGCTCAAAATATCATCCTTTTTAAATCAATTTCCGACATGGTTCGCTTTTGCTTGCACCTTTAATGGTATGTACAGGATACCATGCATTTTCTGAGTAAGGAAGAAAGGGTTTCAAATATTTTGGACATAATCAGTGGACTTGATAAAAACAAATAATCTTGGATGACAATCTTGTCCCTAACAATCTACACTACTGATTGATACTTGAGATCTGACCAGGTTAAAGAAAAGAAATGTGCAATTTTGTAATCTTAGTCTGAAACCTGCCTATTTTTCAGTAAGCTTCCAAGCTGGGCTCGTGCAGTGGTGCCTCGTATATTTTACATCACAGAAAAGGCCTGGAACTACTACCCTTACACAATTACAGGTAAGATAGCTACTGCACTGCATCAGCTTGGCCCTGTGTACTTGTGTCCCTAGCGCTTATGGCATTGGAGAGTCATTAAGTTACAAAGTTAGAAAGATCTGGACGTAGTTCAAGTTATTATTCATTCCCTTTCTGTTGGACTGGTGTCTCCCTCGGGGTTTTGGGGTAGTTGATCTTGGCACCTGGATTCCAGACCGTTGCAAGATGTTGCGCCAGTAAATCTTTAATTATCAAAGTGTCCTGCAGCACCTGATTTAATTAGGACACAAGGATCAAAGACATTGGAAGGTTCTAATCACTGTAATGGTTCCCATATTGGATTCTGCTCTCCTAATGGCTATAAGAAAGGACCCAAGGGGGAGGAGATATTTAAGGAAAAAAATTCACATTTTGTATTCTGCCATTGGTTTTTGTTTGTACTAAACTTGTTTTTCCCCTTCTTTTCATGCATTCTTTGGAACACATTTTGAATATAGAATACACGGTAAGTTTTTATATTCATAGCATTAAGAATGAACCTGCAGCTCCTAAAATCCTTTCATTCACCCGGTCTCATGTTAATACACACTGCTTTGTTGATTGGTGTGATCCTGAGCAAGAAATGCCTGCTCGTAGACAATCCTCAGAATGCTTTTATAGTCCTTGCCTCTTCAAAATAAAAAAAGGTTTCTGGAAAAACTTCCAACACAACCTTTTTGCTTTAGCTTGCTGCACATCTGAATCTTGCAGCCGGCGGGAGTAACTTCAAAGCATGCATTGTTCTGTTGTGTTAAATGGGGAAAAAAATACATACCTTATTTCATCACATAGTAATGAATCGGAAACAGTGTGGAATATCAAGCTGAGCCATTTCTCTAAGGCACTGTCTGGTCTAATGCTTAAATAAGCCTGCATCGTAAAACGATTCAATTACAAAATAAATGAAAAGAGAAGTTTAGGCGCTGTGCTCCTTTTTTGCTTTCAGTGCCCTCGTCAGATCTCTTTCCCATTGCTCTGCTCATGTGTTAATGTGAAACTATGTGGAATCCAGTAATGAGGGACCAGTGCAAACTCATGGCTAGATGGCTGTAATGGAGCTATGCACTGGAGCGAGATTGCAGGAGTGTCAGGGCTGCGTTTGTGATACGTTCGGCTGTCTTTCATTTTACCCCTGAGACTTTCAGCACAAATTAAGATCATAGCTTGAATGGAGAGGCGAGAGAGGCAATAAAGTGATGCAGTAAGCGTGTAGCTTTCTTTTCGTCTTGTTGAATTGCATCGCCTCTGCTGAACAAGCCCCAGTATGCGTGATTTGTTTGTTCCGTGAACTGGATCCGGGAAGAAGTCAAAGTGCTTTTTGAACACCCCATTTTTGTCTTTCGTTCGTCTCCCCCTTTAGTTCGCAGTTTAATAAAAGAGCCCTGTGACCCTCTTTTGTTTTAAAGTGTAAAATCTCTTAAGAGAGAGGCCACATGCCCTTTTCTGGGGTGGTGTGGAAAAATTGTTTGACCAAGCATAGCTAAATTTTGTGGCAATGTCAGTACCAGCAGGATTTTTAATTAGGGGCCCGGCAACGAGCAGCTTAATTGGGTTTCCTGCAGCGGCTCCTACAACACTACTTTAATAGTACAATTATCTTACCTCGTTCTTTGCTTTCTCCTTTCAGTGCTCTTTTTTGCCAAAATTCTCAATCCACGTAGAAACAAAGTATGAGGACAACTGTGGGAATAATGACAACGTAAGTTAATATGGATCTTTGGCATTTTCCTGAAACACGGGAATATTAATTCATTCTTTGCATATGTATAGTGAAGTAAAGCATGTACAGCACATCCTAGGTGAAAAAGTACACTGAACTTTTTTTTTTGCATTCAGATTTTCAACATGGATAAGAACAGCTCAGACACAGAGGTGTGCTTTCTGGATATCGCATATGACGACATCCCAGAACGACATTACAAAAGCTCAGAGGTAAGGAGGGAGTTGAATTCTTTGGGGAAACTCTATAACCAGGCAGAGGGAAGCAGTGGAGTGCCGATTTCTCTTTGTTTGGTATGACAGTGCCTTGCTCTCATAGCACCCGTGAGAAGTGATGGTTTCACCCCAGTGTGCACCTCTGTTCACCAACCCTTCAGAATCTAACCGCTAAAGACGGGTGCCACTACTCCTCTCAGAACTGGTTGGGTTTACCAGAGAACCTGTATGATGATGACTGGCACCGATACGGCTGAAACAATCTGCTTGACTGTTATGCTCTAGGAATTAAGAATGAAGTGTGTTGAAAAATGTATCGGTGTTTTAATCATGGGAAATCTGGCTTAACCAGTTTAAGCCTGGCCGCAGGATGAGGAAGCTGGGCCCCATCCAGTTTGAAGAGTGTCCAAGGGACAGCTGCGCAGGTGGAGATGGGTTGGAGGAGGGAGGAGTCAAATGCAGAGGAGAAGAGGAGTTACATACAGTTCAGTTTTTGTTAACTTGAGCAAATGACATCGGGCCGATCGATCTTGGCTACTGTCATCCTATCACTTTTGTTGCAAATTCCACTCGAGCTAAAATAGCACAAAAATCTGGAAGAGGAGTTTCAAAGACACGTACTGTAACAGTGGTGCTGAATTTGCAGGATGAGAATTCCCATGCTCTGCCTTTTCAGGATGAAGCAGGAGCCTCAGACTCTGAAACCTTTGCCTGACTAATCTGTTGTGATGGAGCATTTTTTAAATGAGCAGCACAAACAGGAGCATAGAGCAGAGAGAGAAATTCTGCAGGTTTTGTATTCAAGGGACTATTTGCAGATTTATAAACTGGGTGTAACAGGCAATGAACTAATGAACAATGACTGTTGCTCTTCACATTTAATTAGACTATAAAATGAAAACTACCTGCAACATGAGTGACAGTTGGATTTAAAAAAAAAAATCATCTGCAGTTTTCCTGTCTCAGGGTCTTTGAATGGGCTTCATAAAATTAATCTTCACAGCTTTTTTCTTGATCAAACTACTAAGTAAGTTTGAACAAAAACTGCTGAGAGAAAAATATTGCAGGGATTTGTCCAGTGTGAGACAGCATTGTACTTTGCGTACTACTCAGTCTATCAATTTAAAATATATCAAGGTATAATCAGCCTAATGTATTGTGCGTCGTAAAACGAGGAGAACATTCACCCTGAGAATACAATTACCTTGCCTTTTGAGCAGGAGATCCAGAGAGGTTTGTTTTTGAGGCAATTTAACACACAGCATTTCCATTGGAGATGACTAGTGGTAATAAGCATCTCGCAGCCCAGTCTGCCTGTTGCTTGAATTAGTAAGTAGTACCTAAAATAGCTCTTACAGGATAAGTCCAGTCCTCTATCAAAGAGCATCATGTCTCTAACCACATAATAAGCACACAGAAGAGACCCGTAAAAGCTGCTTTGTAGCTTTAATGAAAAGTACTCTTGAAGATGGCCAAAACATCTTTGGATGTGCAGTGATTTTAAGATTTCTTCAAATGTTTTTGCACAAAACAGCTTTCAGAATAACATCATATCACAGCTGAAGGACGAGAGAATGGATTTTTTGCCTCTATGTGGCTGCCTTTTTTATCACTCGCTTTTTTACGTATTGCTTTATTTGAAGTAACAAAATATCAGCTATATTGCCTGTAAGGCATTTGCTTCCATGCTTAAATGCGGTATGCTGGGTAATAGTTCTGAGATGGGGAGTAGGAATTAAAATTATGTTCTATAATTTATAATAATTTGTTACACTTACATAGTGCTTTTCTGGACACTCCACTCAAAGTACTTTACAGGTAATGGGGACTCCCCTTCAACACCACCAGTGTTTGGCCAGATGGGAATGGGAAATTTGGCCAGGGCACTGGGGTAGCACCCCTACTCTTTAGAAGAAGTGTCACCCTATAGAACCAATCTAAAACCCAATCTGGTTTAGTATTCTACTAAAGAGATCCCATTATCTATAAATATCAGATCCGTAGTTCATCGGTGGTTCAATGAGTTTTGTGTTCTTACAGAAACCGCAACAGCTTCAGATTGTCTTCACTGTGCATGATCCTGCCCGCAGAGAACGATTGATCTCCTCTCTCCAAAAGAGTGATACCTGGGGCACAGAAGATTCTATCAGTGGTTTAGAAGTGATTTAAGTCAAAGAGTAATCTAAAAACAAATATGAGGGCTTAAAGGCTTGTTTTTTTTTTAAATGATCACTGAAAAAATCCATGTCTTCCAGGACCTCAGGTGTTTCTCCTCTGTAAAAACGGGACGGGGTCCTTTGAAGGAAGGCTGGAGGGAGAGCTTCAAGCCGGTGATGTGCTCTTACAAACTGGTGGGAGTCAAATTTGAGGTGTGGGGTCTGCAGACGAGAGTGGAGCAGTTTGTACATAAGGTACTGTACCTTTTCTTGTTATTTTGAATATTTGCACTGCATCGTAAATTCTTGACTGTGTATCTATTTTTTTTCCCCCTGGGAGGTCTAGACATGTTTCATCTGGATTGATGTGGCAAAGTTGCCTTCTCCTGTCTAGACTTGATGGTTTCACAACAGAACCAGTATTTGTTGTTTCATACTGAGACCTGTGTGCCCTAACAATCTGAATACACACAGACATGCTTTCAACATTTTACCAGTACCCTGTGATTAATAGTTTTGAAGTGATACATGAATGTTTCTCTGAATAGGAATGGTGCTTTCTCTGATGCATTGATCCAACAATATCAGTTTGCCTGGATTATCAGGGTCTTCTGCGTTTCATCAACGTTTCATAGGCTAAAATGAGACTGCTGTGGTTGTGATCTCTGGGTCAGTATTTTTTTTTACTTTTCCCAGCTTCTAATTTGACTTTATTTAATTGTGCCAAGGATGAGCCCATGGATCTTCCAAGTTGTGCAGTTAAAATCTTTTTACATGATATGAGTGAGGGCTTAGATTCCTCAGTAATATGTAGAAGGAGAAAGATGGTTTGTATACACGTTTCTGTTTTTTCATGAGAACTTCCAGGTGCTGCAAGTCTTCAGTTGTGAATAGAGACAGACATAATTATAAACTGATTTATTCTTTTTAAAACAATGGAGACAATCTTTAAGGACTTGAGTGATCTTTATAAAGAAGAGCAATAGAGAGTCTTTTGCACGGTGGAGAATTAACTCTTCCAGCTACAGCCTGATAAACTTCTAAGGTTTCCATGGCTACAATGGCTTGTCTTATTAAAGGCACATTTCATATTTTCACATTTGAAATGCAAAGAGGCTTTGCTCTTTAAAATGAAAAATAATTGGAAAAATAAATGGCAGTCACATAACCATCATAGGTAGACTCATAACATTCCTTTAAAAATCCGATGTATTATCTGGGGGTTTAATATACAAATAGATCATTTGAATGCCTTTTAGTGTTTCTATTTTAGTCGCACTACACATCACAGGCTGACAGTGAAGCAAATGTTTAGCATCCTCCAACAAGGAGCCAAGCTGCTCCTGAAGTGAACTTTAGTCGTGATGAAGTTTACACAATTTCCAATATCCTCTTAATCAATTTTAGGAGGCAAACATTTATGAGTCACATAATTTTATATTACTGTGACAGGCAGTTTGTGGTTTATAGTCCAAATGTGACAAGTCTCCAGGTGGAAATTAGTACATATTGCAACAATAAGTATAAAAAACTGGAGGTGTATTCAGGCCACTTAGATCAGTAACCAGTTATTTTAAGGCTAGTGAATCTCCCGACTCTAGGAAGCTCTGTATTTATCCGAGGAGCAATTCTAAGCACTGCTTCACACTAGGTACAAGGAGAGCAACAGGCCAAATGTGGTTTAAAGAGCTTGTGCTGTCTCCACCAGACAGAACTGAGGATGATCGCAAGACCCAGCACTGGGGTAAATGGAGAGTTCAGGTGTAACAGCCCAAACGGCACTAACCACGGCTACTGCCTTAGCTAACAAAATGTTACGAAATCACTGTTTTTATGCGCTTTTAACTGTTGTCGCACACACTTGAGAAATTAGAAACATGTTAAAAGTTTGCCCTCTTCTTATAACCTTTAAAAAACAAAGAATGCATGTGCAGTACCTTTTTGGTAATGAAGGCCTACAAACCCAAATAAACTTAGAATAATGAGATCCGTTTTGTAAGGTGAGAAAAGACATATGATTGCACCCAGAAAAAGTGTGAGTCACCGCCTGGCCTTTTCCAAGATAACGATGGATGGATGTTAATCCGGTTTGTACCAAGACTGCATTAGGACAATTGGATTGCAGTGTGAAATAATGAGGGTGCTGTCAAGGTGTTCAGCTTTGCAGCCCTGCGTCATTTACTCTGGCTTGTGGGTGACACACAAAACTGCTCGGAGCCAGATGTGTGACAGAGCTTTTAGAAGATTAAAACCTTGTGTCACACAAGGTCCTTGTTAGGTGTTCAGGACCAATTAATTTGCTTTGTTTTTTTATTTTCTTTTCTCATTTATGCAGTGGCATATTTGTGAATTTTTGTTATGTACAACACTAACCCCCAAAGAACACTTTCTGATCATATTGGTCAGTCTTATAGAAGACATTGCACAAATACTCACCGATTTGTACAGCCTCGCCTGTTGAAGGTGTTTTAGCATTTAAATGCTGTTTTAATAACCTGTCTTTAACAGGTGAGCGCTTATACGGTGTTGCAAGTCTGAACTAAACATCTTTTGCCTGTGCTCGAGTTGTAGGGAATGAGAGACTGGGAGCAGTCAATTCCCTCTCGGCGTGCTTGTGTTTGTTCAGGTTTCGCTTCAGCAAAGCCCTTGGCTCGTCTTGCTCTCTTGTTTTCGAGCGCTTTTGTCCGCCTCTGCCTCGCGGGGAGTCAAGATCACAGGGCCCTGCCTCCCTCCAGGGGTCACAGCTTCCCCCAGCTCAATCATCCATGTGGGCGACCCAAAACAAGGGCAGGAAATTGATGACATAAATACAGGAAAGGCGAGCGCCTCCCAGTGCGCTGTTTCTGGAAATAGAAACCTTTTAGCGCTGCAGTTTGTGTCACAATGAGCCCCGACCACCGTTCTGCAAGGAGGTGCAAATTGAGGGTCTATTTATAGCTCTCCTGCCCATCTCCTGTAACCTGGCCAACCTTCCCCACTGCTGTGTCTGAGCTAAGCACCGCAGAGCCCCGTGTGAGCTCTTCACACTCTGCACTGCAGCAGAGTTTTTGTGCACATTAGATCATTGCACATTAAGAGGCGCTGCTGTTTAACATAATTGCACCAAAGACAGAGCTGATTAGCAGGGTGTCACTAATTAATGTGGTAAATGTTTCCTCCTCCAGGTCATCAGGGACATTTTGTTGGTGGGACACCGGCAGGCTTTTGCTTGGGTGGATGAGTGGTACAGTAAGTACTGTAGCTCTTCTACTTTCTAGCCACTTTCTAAACTTTGGCTGGGATTGATTTTTTTCCAAAGTAGAGGCAAGGTCATGCACCAGGGTAAACCTCCATTCTTCTTGCCTTGGATCTTGAGCGTCCTTAGAACTCAGTCCCCCTGAGTTTGCAAGTGAAATAGGAATAGATTTTCTCTTCGTTCGTTCTCTTTAACTTTGGACCCCTATTGGTTAACAGTCTGTGATGCAAGGTCAGCACACAATGGCTTGTGATCTTAAAAAGAAGTCCCAGCAACGGACTGTCGGAGCAGGTTTTCATCTCGGTACTGAAGTACGTGTGTGGTGCTGTGAGCAGAACCACCTGCTGAGCTTGTTGGAGGAGGATAGAAAAGTTATTATGCTTCATTTGTTCTGGGTTTGCAGTAATTCTAAACCAAAAAAACTAGATGGCACCCAAAATAAGATAGCATCTAAATAAGAAATCTGAATGAAGTATACATTGTTCATCACTATTTAATCATCTCTTACCTGCTTTTGCAGTCCTCTGGGGGAAATGCCTCTTATTTAAAAGTTAGTCCCAGCCACTGTTAAACTCAGTCTGTATGCCTTTGGCAAGACTTTCTCTTTGCTTTACTACTAACTCTACTGAGGCATCACATAGGCAGTTGGTGCTTTGTTTTAATTGCATGCTCTAGTCACAGTGTACTGTAAGGGCTGTGCTAACCATACTAGTTTTAGCCCTTTCCGTTTATCATTTATTTATCAAAACCTTTTTTTCAGGTTCACCTTTAGGAATATCCATGCCGGCAGGTCATGCAGTTCGGCCGTTCGAGTGCATGGTTTGAGCAGTGGCTCGGCAGGTGTCGTTATAGTGGGTGATTTTGGCCTTTACCTGAATGCTCTTCCCACAGTATAACTGCAAGTGTCAAAAAAAATAAAATAAATAAGCACAGGACAGCACTGGCTCCTACAGGCATAGTGACAACTGCAGTTCTTGTGCAGTTACTACAATTCTGCTAATTACAGTATTGTTGACAATGAGTGTTTAAGACACCAAACTAAGGGATTCTAAGGGAGATGCGCTATTATAGTGTAGTATCTCACATTTTTGTTTGCCAGTCATTAAGAATGTTTTTTTTCTCTTCAGGGGAATACTGACAATCTAGGTGTAAGTAATGACAGTGTGCTGTGTTCTGTTGCTTTCTGAGTAGTCTTTCTAATGGATTGTTTTGGAAAGGGTTAAAAGGTTGCAGTTTTTTCTAACTAACAAGAGCACTGGGGTGTGTATATGTTTTTCTTCCCTGTACATCATTTAATATCAATGACAAGACTCTCTTTCTGCACTGCTCATAGATTGGGCATATACACTTATTTAACTTAACTGCATTTTTTCTGCACCTGCTAACAGAACTGCTAATTGCTTTACTCACAGTGCATTCTCTGCTCTTAATGATCAAAAGTGTTCAGACTTGAATGAAACTGGTTGTATCAGAGGTGACTGCTGATTACAAGGAAAAGGGTCAATGTAAAGACTAACTTGTGTGGAATTTGCCGCTTGCAGATCTGGCCAAGATTTTTGTGAGTTAAGAGACACTATAGTGGATTTTTCTTTAATTGTATGTGGAAATGCCAGTGGTGTACTCTGCTCTTTAGCTAAGATCAGATCACTTTATTGGCCATATAGGATTTCATGCCTTAGGAATATCTTTTCGCATACCCCAACTTGCTCTCCATGAGCCACACAGACAGGGAGAGAAGTTTGGAGTCAGAGCGCAGGGTCAGCCATCTATACGGCGCCCCTGGAGCAGTTGGGGTTAAGGGCCTTGCTCAGCGGGCTTTGAATCAGCACCCTTCCAGCCTCAGGCCCAGATCCTTAGCCACAGAGCCACTGGCAGCCCGTGTGGCATTAGTTGCAGATGCTGCAGAAGGAGAGAGAAGGAGTTGTGGTCATGCTCTTCTGCCATGACCAGTGGCACAGCAGCTGAATATGGAGCACATTCCCAGCTCCACAGACCTGAACAGAGGAGTGGTGTTTCATGTGTGGAAATCACTGCAAGAAGCCACTTTTTTTTTTTGTCATGTGGCTTGGAGGTCTCAAAATTTAGATTAGTCTCCCACAGCACTTCAGCTGCTCTTTAAATTCTGCCTTGCTAGTCACGCCTCCTTAGATTCTGCTAGCTTGAACAGCAAGAGTAAAGTTTAATTTAATTTACTCTTTACTCTGTTCATTTTAACGGAAATGTTTTTTTCCGTCTAAGGGCTTAAATATCTAGTTCATCCGTAGAAGGTTAAATCAGACAAGGAAGTTGCTTGGGAGAGAAGTATTGAAGGGCGAAGGCCTAGGAGACAGTGATAGATCGCGCTTTGTATTAGAGTGTGCAGCTCCTTTTAGATTATCTAATTACGTTTACAGCAGAAGCGAGTGAATGATTTACAATAGGCTTTTTTTTCCCAGAACGCATCGGAATGGCGCGTGTCGTACCGGCGCGTGGCTCTTTAATCGGTGCAGTTTAAACGCCACTGAAGTGTTTGTCTACTGTGAAGAGAAGCCTAGCGCGTGTCATTGGGAAGTAGCTGATCATATCTCCTGGGAAAGTGCCCATGGCAAGATGTTTGCTTTCAGTTTGTCGACAGGTATTTTGAGAGTAAAGTGATACAACCACTTGGACTCAGGCTGGATATGTAGTGGTCTGGCAGGCAGATGTAGGTCAAACCTGGTAAAAAATAGCCTCAGTGATAGTAGTGGGGACAGGCCCCACAACAGCTGCTGTGGCGGTTAACCTTGGCTTTCTTTTCTTCACCACAACACTGAAGCTTTTCACTCTCCTCTTTGTTTTATTTTAACATGCACAAGTCAAGCCTTTATGTCATTGATAAAAAAAAACAGTAGTGTGACAAAGTTATAACTTTCAATTGGCAAACAAATGAAAACAGTTCTGTTAGCTAAAGACCATGTTTTTGACTTTTCACATTTCCCCGTCATTCAGCCTGATGCTTTTAAGACCTAGAACCTGATGTAGAAGTCAGGCAGTGCTCAATTAAAAAAGGTTGTGTTCCTCTCCGCTGTCGGGGCCATTTTAATGTAAAACCGGTTAGAAAACGGAGCCTTATGCTGTTAAATTGATTAGACATGCTTCCGTTTAATCTCACAAAAAGTAAAACGTACGTACTGAGGATCAAAAGAAACTATCACTCATTTTAAGCTTGCAGGCTCACCAAGCCTGGTGAAAATCAAGAGAGAAAAATGCAGAGCTGGACCAATATGTCCCAGTAGTCAGTAGAGCAAGACCTTCAAGCGATCGCTATGCTGTGAGGGCACACTACTTCAGTCAGCAGTGTAGCATGTGACAGCATAGCTGAACATTCATTAACAAGACTGATGGCCACACAGGGGCCCAGACACAACACAGTATGTGTGGGTGAGCAGCAGCTTGGCTGGACTCGCCAGTAGTGGAACCAAGTGACTTCCTTGGCAGTGAACCAAGGTTTTGTGCCGACCACCTGATGGATGCCGGTGAGCATGATGCAGTGCGCTGGCTGTCGGGAACAGTCGTGGAAGTCCAGCTGCGATGGTCTGGGCAGGAGTGTCTAGTTGACACAGAACGCTTGTGATGATTGATGGCAACCTGGAAATTCCAGCAGAACCTCATCCTCATGCGGCCCATGAAACAACTGCTGTCCTGTGAGATAAGAATGAGACAGTTAAGTCATGGATGTCTTGCTCACCAGATTTGAGCCCCATTGGACATCTGTGGGATGAGCTACAGTAGGATGACGTTGCATCTAGGGCTCAGAGACCAGTGACCTGGCCCATGCTTGTCCAGGCTCTACAAGACAAATGGCACACGATCCCACAGTTTAACATCTTATGCTAATGTTGGCTTTGTCTGTTGTTTTGGGGATCTTGAATATCTGAGTAAGGACTACCTTAGTCTTCTCTTGTTTGAGACTGAAAAGTTTTTAGCCTGTCAGTGTAGGATATTCCTTTGAGCCTGGGGAATGCATCTGACTGCCCTTCTCTGCACAGTGTAAATCAGCCTAATGGTTTTACTTGTCTCGTGTCTGTGCAATAAAATGTCAGTGCTCCTGCTACAGTTATTTTTAGTTTGCAAGACTTGCACAACTATATCACCATGACGTTATAAGTGATGAGATGTTTCTTTTGACTCTTAATATATTAACTACATAAACGTGTAGAGTGGATTTAGAGGTTTGCTGTGTAATTTCAGAAACAGTGAATGAGTCCTTGCATGCCAAAAACTTCAGCACTGCTTTATAGTCAATTTGACAAATTCCTGTTGCTGTTCGTAGTTTTTCTTTCAAAGTCAAATCAAATTCCGGGGCAACCCAAGACTTATCTGCAAGCCATTTTAAAAAATGGAAAGTGTAATGGAGTGACTTTAAAAAGCATCCCTCCTTTTTAACCAGCACTCGCAAACTGGTCGAGCTCCCTGTAGCTCGGTTCTGCACTGCCCTCTAGTGGAATGGATTTGTATCCCAGCCTTTAAAAGTGCAGTGTTAATAGTACAAAGGCGTGCCCTGTTTTTGAATTTCAAAGGGTACACAAAAGTAAAATAAAGGCTTGACTGTGACTTTCTTACACCCTTTAATGTGAAATGGATAAGCAGATAATGTGACAATCTTCACAGCAATGTCTCTGGAGGACGTGCGTAAATTCGAGAATCTGATGCATATGGCCACAAATGAGAAACTGGGATGCCAGGAGACATAGCTGACACCCGGCTGATGTATGTTTTCTTTCCTTTTAATTTTTACATTTTATTTTAAAGTTGTGCTTTAAATTTGTGGGTCTCACCAGACTGAATTAAGGGGGTGGCAAGAAGACAATCTACAGCCATGGTACCTTGATTGTCTCGTTCTCTTAAGAAGCCAGTTGATTCATCATCATTATCATTGTAATATGGCACCTCATGGTCTAGTTTCAAGACTCATTTACTAAAATCTGAAGTGATTAGTTTTAACAAACTTAACCCACCATCTGTTTGTCTTTTATGGTAGGCCTCCCCAAAAGTATCTCTTACCCATGATTGTGTGTTATGTAGTAATTCTTTGCATTTAAATAACACTTTTCATATGGTAGGGGAATCACTTCCCCCCCACCACCGCAGTGCAGCACCCCCCAGGTGACACACAGCAACCATTTTGCACCTGCAGCCCCCACTGCCCAGCAGCTCAAGTGCAGAAGTGAGAACGTGCTTCACCAGTTGAAATAAGGGGGGCGTTTGGGAGGAGAGAGAGTGCAAGCTAAGAATGAGGAGTGTTATTTAGCCGGGACCTCGCGGCTAACACCCCTGCTGTTATGAGCTGGGCCAGGGGATCTTGGCTTTGGATATTTTGATCCCCAGGGAAGTGAGTCACAGGACGTACTTCACCAACACCTCTCACAGTGGTAGCCTTCTTTTCCCTGGAAGTCTGCCATCTCACTACTGACTGACCTACTACTGACCCGGCCCAGCCTGGCTTAATTTCACAGCTCTGTCAACAATGTGGTAATGATGCCGTGTCTGATGAATGCTTGACTATTTGTCTAAAGCAATTTCAAATTGTGTTTTGAAATGTTGTTGTACAGCCTCAATTATATATAGGCAAGCATGTGCTACTTAATTACTGTATCTTTAATTTTTACTCTTAAATGAATTTGTAAATGATGGGAAAAATTCTCATCTACTGACAGATTTGCCCATTAAAAGAAAATGTCATGCAATTATTGGCAGCAAGGCAGATTTTTTTTTCGTACTGAAGCATTTTCAGCCCTGATGTAAATTTCAACCATGGTCTCCAGTTTTCAAGCATTTTCAGTGGCACGGTGTGTCCCCCCCCCCACGAAGAAAGTTTGCCCTTCTGTAACAGAGAGTGACCGAGAACGGGAGCTCACCTGGCGTTTCTCCTCCCGGGCAGACATGACGATGGAGGAGGTGCGGGAGTACGAGAGAGAGACGCAGGAGGCCACCAACGAGAAGATCGGCCTGGTGACGCCCACCATCTCCATTCACGAGGTGTCCAAGCCGCCGGCCACCCGCAGCGCCCCCGCCAGTGCGCCGTCCACCCCCGTCAACGGAGACCCCCCGGACTTCCTGAACGTCCCCAAGGACCGGCCCCGCAAGAAGTCCGCCCCCGAGACTCTCACCCTGCCAGAGCTTCGAGAACGCGCCCTTCCCAAATAGCATTCCCGCGGGTCTGGACTTACCGAGAAAATGTTCTCTTTGCCGTTTTTAAGAAAAAGGAATTTAATCTCTCTATATTGATGGGGGTAAAACAATAAATGGGTTTAAAGGTTGATTTTCACAGCTTTTTTTGTTTATGTTGAAAGATTTTAATCATCCGTTTTGTCCAGATTCGGGTTTACATGTTTGTTTGGTAGCGGAGAGACAGTGTGGCTCACACCTGGAAATGACACGGGTGCCTTCTGTTTTGCTTTTCTGTGAGAAGGGATTTTTCTGTGAGAACTTCCTTTTCACCAGAACAGAACATAAAGTTCGTGAAGAAGCAGGCACTTGTGCCAGTTGTGTTTGTACTGCCGTTTTGCACAGGCCCCTGAGCAGGCATCTTGGCAGAGCTGCAGAGTGCAGATACACTTACATTCTAACTGGAGATCTGGAAATGAAATGAGCTTTAGTTCATTTAGAGTGCAGTACTTGCTGGGTAGCAGACGTTAATTTATTTTTTGAGTTAATCACACATGATTATTTTACAAGCATGAGCAGGGCTTTCAGATCTGAATGCTGGGAAGTGATTGGAAGAGCGAACGGATGTCCTTCCACTATCATGACACAGAAGGGAGATGGTTTTGATATTACTTCTCCTAATGACTTTGTAGCATATTCTGGAATTAGACTGTTTGGGACTTCAAAATACAGTTCCCTCCCTTAGGATACTAATCCAAAGACAGTAGGAAGTTCAAGGGAAAGAGCTGCAATATGTTTTTAAAGGCCTTAAACAAAAGCTCCTTTGTTATTGTGAAAAGTAGGTGATGCATGCTTTTTTCTGGAAAGGAATTCTGATATTTAGGGTCTAGTTTCAAACTAAATATCATAGTTGTCTTTTGAAAAGACTGAGTGAGATGCTGCACTGAAATGCATTCTGTCCACAGTATGAAACAAAGAAATGCTGGTCTCTCCACATGTTGTGGATGCTAGTCGTGTTAATCTTAATTGCAAGTCTTTGGAAACTTTTTTTTTGTACTCTCTGTATGCTTCTTGACTTTGTTAAACCATTGATTTCTTACCAAGTATGGTGATTTCTGATCTTTAAAATTTATGCTTACAAGTTGTAATGTTTTTCCTTCATGAATGGTTTTAGAGGCTCCTGAAAGGTACAATGTACAGGCACTTCTTCAGTGCCCTTGGTTCACTGCTTCACAGCCTGCATTGCAAGAGAACTGGACTTTTTTCGTCCCCTGCATGTTAAGAATCTGTTTTTAGTTATCAGGAAGTGCTTGTACAGTGGCAGAGGCATGTGTAGTTATTCTGCTATTATGCTATTTCTTATATTGACAATAGATCAGGTATAGGAAAAACTTGAAGTTCTCATTCTGTTGCAAGCATCTTTTCAAGTGATCTTTGATTATTAAAAAAAAAACTCTAGCATTGTCAGTTAAGTTAATTGGTCAATTAAGTCATTATTGACCAACTAAATGAATGTAGTGCCTGTTGAATCCATGCGCTACAATGGGAGAAATGGAAGAGACAAGATATGCACCTTGTAATATGACCCTTATAGGCTGAAGGTTACATTTATTGGCTTTTAAGTTACTGGCACTTGAAGACCACTCAGAAGAACTGAGAAAGGAACAATGTCAGCTCCTGTATAATTGGATTTCATCTCTGCTTTTCCTTTACAGCAGGGCAACCCTTTACATAGCCCTTGGGATTTACTCCTTTGTAGTAGTTTAATACAGTTAAAGTTAGTTATATCTTGCTGGGTTAGAAGAACTGCCCTCTTATTGTTTCTTGCACACACAAGAGCAGGGGTGTCATAGTCCAGTCCCGCAGGAAAACAGTGTCCTCTTTTTATCATCCTAAACTATGAATTGCTCTATCTATCGGATAACTGGATATTTGTTACACTTTCCAAGGTCTTTTACAGCAGATTGAAGATGCAGCAGCTAATGAAAAAAATTCAGAAGCCTAGAAGAAGCGCTACATTTATCCAGTCAGTCAAATGCTCAGATCACGGAGGATAACAGGATGGATTGGAAGCAGCTGCAGCTCTCGGGGAGTGAGTGTGCCATGCCTGTCACTGCCCCCCCCAGAGCTGGGAGTGCTACCCTCTGAAGGCTCTAACCTCCCTTTAGAAAAGAATTGCCTAAAACCCAGTATTTGTTCTGCGAAGGAGTCAAATACATTCTGTACCTCATTTCTGTATATTGTGCTGAAATGGCCAGATATTACAGATATCTGAGTCCATTGAAAATGTGCCACAGGATTTGGGGATTTTTGTTTCTTTTATTTGCTTTATGTCAGAAGAGTTCTGAGTATTTATTCCCAATGCTGTTTACATGCAACACCCTTGCTTCAAGAGCCTTTTTGCTGGAGCACTCTGTTCGGTTTTGTTTTCTGTGCAGATGTGACCACTCCTTTCGATTGAGTGCAGCGAGTAACTCCTGTCAGTGTTCACTGCGTGATTAATAAACAATCTGCTTTCTATGGCTGCCCCATTATTAATTCCACTTCTGTTACCTTCAAATTCAAATCCAGTGGCAGCTGCATGTGTGGCCTCTATGAATATCTGTATATAGGTGTTAATTCTCCATCTGTGGCATTGTAGGAGGCTCTTTGGTAGCAGGAGGCTATAAAAACAAACTGGAATGTTTTTTATTAAATTTTTTCCATGCTGTACAAAAGCTCTCTCGTTGTGTTTATTCACAGTTTGTTTTAATAAGTAGCATTAACTATACAATATTTATTGTGCTGAATATCACTTAAGAGAACCTTAAAATCTATAGGATTTTGCAATTCTACCTTATGCATCTCTGTGATCCTGAATCACCAGTTTAAACTCCAGCATCTAATATGGCTTTTATGTTAGGAATTTTTAGGCTCAGAATGTTTACACCAGTATACAGTGGTATACTCCCGTATTTTACTACAGAATATTTTGTTAATTTTCAAGTGGATATTTTTGCACAGAACATCTTCTGCTGATGTGCACAAAATGAGTAGTCCTTCAGAAGTGGTTTGTAGCAAATAAATGGTGGGGAGTTTGTACTTTCTCTTGATTTCTGAAATATGGAAATGACCATGTTAGGTAATTATTTTAACTAAACAAACCTCACAGACCGCATGAAAGACTGGTGTGTTGAAATACATGAGTTCTTGCAATACATGTAACACAGGATTAACTTTGGAACACTGGCATTTTCAGGTTTTGCCCGTGTTTTTTTTCTTCAACGTCATTTGGAATAAGATTATTGGTTTCTTAATGTTTGCAAAGCTTCAGAAGATGCTGATAGTATTGCTAAAACTTTGAAAGGGAGGACACTCCAGCTACAATAACAAAGTATTTTACTTTGATGCTGGTGCCTTTATTCTGATATGCAGAGGAAAAAGCACTCTGGATTGGTGGCAGCACTGATGGCGTCTTAGGATTTGCGGCTTGATTATATATGAAGTTCAGGAGGGGAGCTGCATCAGCATGTGTCGGCTGCAGAGGAACAGGTAATAGGTTTTTCCTATGCTGAAAAGAGAAGAAAGAAAACGCAACGTTTCGGCCGTGGAGCCTTCAGGAGTCTTCACACCTGAACAAGGCCCCACGGGCGAAACGTTGTGTTTTCTTTCTTCTCTTTTCAGCGTGGAATAAACCTATTACTTGATTATATATGTCCTGGTTTTCTTTTTTCATGTCCAAGAGGATTATCTGGAAGACAGGTCGTTGATTCCAAAGGCTTGCCAGGTTTCAAAATCAAAACGAGGTGGTCTTCTTTTCTTCATTCCTGGGCTTTTCTTCTTTTTGGGGCTCTGACCTGATGAATAGGAGCAAATATAGTCAGCTTTTCAAATTTGAATCATCTTTTACCTTTAAAAGTGTTGCACGCTTGTATTTGTATGAATTGCCTTAAAGGGGATTGCTTCATAATTTTTTTTTATTCAGAAGAGGTGTTATTTCAACCAAGCATGGACCTCTTCTGAATAAAAAAGTGCACCATTTCTTATATTTGAGCATCTGTGGTGTTTTTTCTATTCCTGCACAGTATACTCACCCTTTATTTCTTTTGTAAACAGCGTGCCCCGCATAGGAGATAAATAACAAAGACAGCACACCAAGGAGTGAACACAACATGATGAGTGCCACAAAGCTCGCCGACAAGGGGCTTCCTTCTGCAACAGAGAAACACAACTGTCAGCTCGAAGTTCCTCTGTGAATCAGATTTGTTTAGTCCTCTGAAGCAAGCGTTTCCTGCAGGGTTTTTCTGGGATTCGGAAATGTTGGTTCCAGGAAAGCGGCACGCCTTCAGTCAGAAGAGTCTGAGGGCTAGGATTTTTTTCCGAATATTGTCGGTTTTACAAAAGTCAGAAACCAAACCATCTTTAAGTTATTTACTCTTAATTGCTATTTTTAAAGTTTCCTGTTATCACTGCTGAATTATAATAGCCCTAATTTACATTTAATTAATGTACCACAGGCACAGTGAATATTTTCATGCTCAGTCACTTCAAAATGCCTGATGGTCACCCTGTCTGGGATGGGTTCTCAAGTGTAAACTGTGTGTTCACAATAACTCGGTAACTTGTGAGGCAGTTTGTTGTTTTACGTGTGCTTTTTATCGCAGAGTTGGCTTCATTTGTCTTATGGCGCACAACATTTATTTATGATTTAGTGTGCTGAGAATTTAAACAATGAAATGGGTACCCCTTTGAGTACACGTTAGTCAGCCTTCGTGAGGATGTGGTACAATTCCAATTTATCTCAAATGAATTTGTTAAGATTCATCTACGGTGTCGTGACTGGGGTTGTTCAGGGGGGTTTGGAACGAGGTCATAATGAACTTAAAACTATCCTCTGTGGTGCTGTATGCTACAGAGCTGCAGTTGGGCTGTCTTTCTTTATAAAGCTCCCCCTACCAGGTTTTACAGGGCTGGGGTCCAAGTCAAACCTCTCCACCAGCATGCCCTCCGTGAAGGCCAGGGAACCGTTGTTGGGAGCAGGGGTCACGCCGAGCAGTTTGCACATCAGTGGGTAGATGTTGATGCTGTCAAAGGCCTCTGCCAGGTAATTCTTTTTAAAGTCTGGGCCAAAGGCTCGGAAAATCATTTTCATGTCCATTTCTTCGTTGCTAAAGCCATGGTCTCCTTTGTTGACGTAAAATATTACTCTCTGTGGACAGTGGAACAGAGATCTTATTAAAGAGCACAGTGCTCTTTTGAAAATGAACACACTGAGCTTGAGTATTTGTTACATCAAGATTATAGAGTTGGCAGTACAATAGGACCCTTACAGGAACATTTTTTCTTGTGCCTTGTTTATTGAGGCATGAATCTAAGGTGTCACTGGATTCGGGGAAAAAAACAAAAACAAAACTGAGTTAGAGATTATCTTTTATGCAGAATGTGGTTTAACCTGCCAAAGACTATTTTTAATGACGTACTTTAAGCAAAATAAAAATGATTACAACTTACAGAGTTCATATTGTACCCCAGATCTCCAACAACAATAATTGGTTGTATTCTGTCATGCTTAGCCAAATGGAAGCTCTCAGGAAGCTCAGCTTTCTTGTAGACTCTCAAGTGCGGGTGAACATTCTTTAGGGACAGATAGACTTCTTCTTCTTTGCCTGCCTTGGGTGTGATCATCCCAAATCCTCCATAGTCCAGTAAGTCAAAGTGGACCAGTTTAATGAAGCTCATATAGTTGGATAGCTTGATTTCCTCCACCACTGGGGCCTTCTTGATGGTGGTCATACCGTGGTCAGAGGTTATGATGACATTGAGGCGGTCCTTCAGGTTGTGTCTCTCTATGGCCTCCAGCAGAAAGCCAATAGTCTTGTCGATCTGTCGGATGATTGCACGACGTTCCTCTGTCTCAGGACCTTTTTGGTGCCCCACCTTGTCCGGCTCTCCGTAGTACAGCGTGACAAAGTCAAAGTCCTCTTTGGAGAACCAGTCCATGACTGTCTCAATGTTCTCTCGCCACTCTGTCTCGTTAGAGTCGGGGTGATTGTACGACTCCACCAGGGAGCGGTAGACAGACTGGCCACTATAATTGGCTCCTCCTCCAGGATAGTGGAATGATGCGGTCTTTAGTCCCTGGGAATGAGCAACAACAAGGGCATATATAACCAAAAACAAATATTTAGAATCATCAGGAGTGATGGAAAGGAATATTGCATAGAGTCTAAACATTTTCTTCAGTTCTACAACAGTAAAAGAACTGTAAGAATACTGTAAGTCGTTGAGGAGGCAATAGGGGATTAGTAATAGAAGATGAAAAGGTTAAATTAATATTTTATGCAGTCATGAAGACTGCTTCAGCACTAGATAAGATAATCATAGTGCACAACAGTTGCTGCAAGGCTCTTTAGTGTTCTAAATTCAGCTTTGTTTTGGTTCTTGAACAGAAATAGGAGGAATATAAAAATACTGGAAGACAAAGTAAATTGTTGTCAGTCACTCTTGGACAAAATATCGCTCAAAGCACATGTATGCTCTTTACCTTGCAAATAACCGGATACAAGTGTCAGGCATCAGCCTGAATTATCTTCAGGAATTCATCCACAACATGCACATGTATTCACAAACAAACACATGTGTAGCCCCTATCCCTTTGCCATGTTCATTGAAATGTGACAGGGAAGAAGACTTCAGGACCCACCTGATTCTGTGCAGTGATCCACAAAGGCATGACTCCATTGTCCCACCACTCTGACCTGTTCTGAGTGGCCTTGTGGGATAGCTTCAGAAGAGTCTTAGGGTTAAACATCATGTTGTGAACAACACCATGATCTTCAATCCACCTGCCTAAAATCAAGACATTTTGAAAAGAGCAAGTGCAACATTAAGACTGGCTCAGAGAGTCATTTGCACCACTTCAGAAGAATGGGTCCCACTTCATTTTCTTGCCACAGGGCTGTTTCTTCACAGGGCAGGGTATTTCAGTTTTTGTTGTTAAGTTGCAACCAGTACCCCTAAAATAATTTCAGTTTTAACAGTTTCTTTCATAATTCTACAAATTAGTCCAGTCCTGGACCTGTAGGGACCGTGCGTCTGCACGTTTTCTAGGTCTCTTGAAAGCAGCAGCTCCTGAAAATCTTGCAGTTAAATTGGTCCAATTAAACCAGTAACCATGCAAATGAGCTCATTAAGAGTTAAGATGGCATGCAAATCTGCAGAGACACTAAGCCTCCAGGAACAGTGGACAGGCCTGCTTGTATCATGGTCTTTACACAAGAATACTGTACGTGCAGCACTAAGAAGTATTTTGCTGTAGGTTTTGTTGTAGTTACCAAGATTTAGCTGCCACAAGGTGGCAGAAAAGGTCAAGAAATCCATGATGTTTTCTGTCGCTAGGTGGAGCAACTGAAGTCAAACTAAAAACAGTGTTGCACGTCATGAATTACTAAATTGAACATTTTGGGCTTATCTTATAAAACTGTAAGTATACATCATTATATATGGGAAAAATAGGAAGTATCTTATTTTATTTTTGGAATTCATTTATTCATATGCTAGGTGTGTAAGCCTGATTCTCTTGATAAATGTAAAATGTGAGAATATGTATGATATCTTGAGTGTTATTGAACATTAGGAGACATCATTGTACACTTTAACTTCTATAGCCCTGAAATATTACAGTATTTTGTGAATACCATAGAACAGTATATTTAATATGAAGGGCTAGATGACCATTTCTGGTATTGATACTGGATTAAAGTATTAAACAATTTCCCCCAGTTTTAAAATGATTTTGCTTTTGGTTTTTCAGGTGTTCTTTTTTTCTTATTGTGAAACATCCCATGAAAACCTTCCTTGGGTTCAATTTGGTTTCTTAATTAAATTCAGAAAAAGCTGTTAACTACTATATAAGGTTGTTTGTTATTATCTTCATTATCCTGATTGAGCGTCGGATTTTCTTCTACCTCCTCCTTAATTCAAATGCAGAGCTGACACATGACGTTAATTGTTCGTCCCTGATCCTATTTTAACTTGCATTTCATTTTTGCAATTGACTAATTTAGTGTCTAGTGGGATCTCTTATTGTTCTGCGTTTTATTTTTTCTCCAAAGCTTAACAAAAGATGTCGGATACATTTTCATTGCAGCATTAAGTAGCCATCATACAGAGAGCTAATCTTAAATTTAAAAGTCCATAGTTCTACAGGATAAAATAGCAGCTTTATACTCACAGCACTCAAGATGTCCCTTAATTAAGATGAAGGAACAATCTACAATTTAGTAAAATGTAAATGAAATTAATACCTAGGATGCTCGAAGTGGTTGTGTATTTTGCAAACTGATTTGGGAGCTACTTTTGCAAAGTATGTAGTGTTTCGGTTCTGATCCAGAATCGCCTGGCTTATTACAGTACATCTAGAGCTCTACTGAAGCAGAGGAGCTTCCCATGCATGCTCCACATTTTGTTCATCATAATGACAGACCAAGACGTCTGAGCTACTAACTTCCCACATAACAAAGTCTTCATGCTGCTAACAGTCAGAAAAAAAAACATCACCTTGCATCTGTAAGAAATAAAAGATAAAAAAGAGCACATGATATATAATATATACATACTACATGATCTATATTATGCAAATCAGTCAGTGTGCAAAGTACCCAGGTGGATTGTTTCAAAAGTCAATGTGAGCTCCAGGTTAGAATTTATAGATGACTCGGCTAAAATATTCACTCTGCTGTGCACAAAATAAGGGTATCAATCTGGAAAACTGCTTTAGAATGCGTGATGTGTAAGGCTGTCTTCTTAATGACCCGCCCCCATGCAGCACATATACAATGTAGTGCAAAAGGTCAAATGTGTAGTTTGCACGTTTTCTCCTTACCTTTCCTGCATGAAAGTACTGTGTATGCGGAAGTATTGTCCTGTTTCTTCTGGCCAATTCAGGAGAAGAGAAATCTGACTTATTGAGACTTTCTCTTGGCTGTAAGAAAACTTACAGCAATCGAAAGCACAGCTGAACTCTTCAGCTACATACTGTAAATCCATTTTGTTAATAAAACTCAAGGCTGAATTTTAACTAAGCCTATAGATGTTACCTTCAAGAAAAAGTCCAGAAAAAAGTTGGCCCAAGGTAATAGCATCTGTCTGGGTACCATTTCCTTGTGTACTGGTACGGTATCTTTAAGAGTGATTTTTCTACCAGTTGTCAGTTTGTTTTCATATTAAGAATCGAACACCAAGGTTCTTTGGTATCTATTTAAGTGAACATGTTTGTGCTGAATCAAGGCTGTGGTCACTGCCAAATGGAAGACCAAATTGTGACACCCCTGACTTGAAAGTAGCTATTGAAAATCAGGCATGAGTTCTAAATCCACTCATCTGTAGATTAAGGTATGCAGATTTAATATCTTATGGCTTCAGAAACAGCACTCTACTAAACTACAATTCCAGATCTTTAGGCTAAAGTGGGTGATTCTTGGTCATGAATTCATAGATTCAGACAGGAGATTCTATGTATGCAAAAATTGCAGCAATGGTGCTATTCAGATGGTTTATCTCAAGCATATTAGAAAACTTCCAGTGCATTAAATGATCCTTTCAGTTATGCTGCCCCACAATCTATCTTATTTCCTCTTTTACTCTACTAATAAACATGAACTAATCCCCTCTTTTATTCAAGGAGCTCCACACAGATAAATTAACTAGTACATACTGGTTGCCTCAGCACATTGTAGGGGTGCCCTGTGCTTACCCAGCATTTGCAATTAAGCCCTACTCAGCACCTGCCTGTTCATTTTCTGATTCTTCTTTATCTTTCTCACACATGTGAAGCCGAATAGATGCTCTGGGAAAGGGAGCTTGCAATTAGATGGGTGAGACTCTGTGTGCAGGGCTGTGCACATGTAAATGTGTTAACCACAGAGCTCTGTCTTTCTGCTGGCCTGCTTTTATCTTTTCTTCCTACCAGCCAATGCAGGATAAAGGCTTTTGCAATTAGGATCCCAGCAGCAGCGTCTCCAGGATGTGCAACATTTTTCTTGGCAAAATAACGGGGGAATACAGAGTTTCCAGCTGATCTAAGCATTTCCTCTAAGCTGCTTTATGGCTTCTGCACCAGCCTGGTCTGCGTGTGAACAGTCTCCCGTGTTTTGTCCCATTTCTTGTCTTCCATTGATTTCTGCACCTGTATAGTCTAATCTCTCTCTCCCAAGTTAAGGTAGCATTAAACTAATTGGACATCAATTTTTTTAAAAAAGATCTTGCTTTTCCAGATACAGTCACGCACACACACTCCCAATACACACTAAAACGCTTTCCATTCATTTTTTTAGTACAGTATGAATCCCCCTTACTGATGTTGTGTCACTGGTGAACAAACCAGATTTGAGATTGATTGTATTATATAGTCTTCCCAAAGGATTTAAGAAGTGCTAATTGGCTGCCTTCAAATACACATATTACACTTATAATGTGAAGAAAGAGACGTTAAAAACAATATATTTTTTTGGTTCAAAGCAGGGCTTTTTTTCAGAGGTAGATAAATATCTTTAAAAGATCCATTATGCTTCAGTACTCTACCCGCCATTTGTGTATTTAATGTTAGCTGTTCATCTATACCACAAGGGCGTTTAGAATTCAGTTCAGGAAATGGACCAGTTTAATGCTGATGTAATCCTGTTGGTTCTCTTCACTCTGCAAACTGCCTCTCTAGCAGTGTGTGCTGCTCAATCTGTTTAATGCTTCAGGTAGCAGTGCTTCAGTAAGCATTATTAGCTGATAATTTGTGATCTTGGATCCGAAGACCTTGAGATGATAGCTGGCTGGTCAAAGATCATCGGTGAAGGCTAAGCTCTCGCTTGTTGCCAAATGGAGTTTCCTTCCAGGAAAAGAAAAGCTCCCTACAGGATTCTGTTTTCAAGCCAGAGTTTCGTGACAAAAACTGAGCAGTGAAGCATGTGCAGGTGTAACCTGCCCGATGATGAAAAATGATAGTTTATATAAGGTGTCAGAAGATATGAGCGATCACATTGCACTGAAGTTTAAAACCACCATACACAAGCTCCAGCACATCAGGGGACACTCAGCTATACTGTAGCTAAACAGTGTCACCTGTCAAATGTAAATATGTGAAAAGAATAGCGCTTACAGCCTTTAATTTTTTTTAAATGCATTTCAAATACAACTCTATTTTGCTTTAGAGTTATGAAAATACAGTAGACATAAAGTTTTATTTGACTTTCTAGCTTAATTGCCCAAAACATGATCTCAATTAAACTTTCTAGCTTAACTGCCCATAACATGATCTCAATTAAAAGCAAGAATTGAGTGTCCATCTGCGTGTTACGAAGTGCAATGGGAAATTAAGGACTCTGAGGCACTGACCATGAGAGAAGAGGAATTCTTTTCCAGCTGAACCCTGAGAGAGAGGTGTGTGGAAATCCATGTCATGGATGTGCAGTATGTTCCTGGAAATGCCCTTCATAGACACTTCAAACTACCCAAAAGAAAATGATAAAATAACTAGAGATGTGCTGGCAGTAAACCAAAGCTTTTTACTGCTCCAAGGGCACATTCAGATAAATCTTGAATTCACTCAGAGAATCACTGGAAATAGGATTTTCTATGCTGCTCCTGTTACTTTTACTTTGCAGTTCTGCAGGTCCACACGATGTTATTTGCTGTAGCAGGTTACACTGTGTTATGATTATTGACCAGACCCAATTTTTTGATCAGCTTATCATATTCCATTCTTTCGTTCATAAAGCATAAAGCTTCCCACTGCATGCTTCACAAGAAAAAGACAGGACAGATACTGTTAGAAAGCAGGAAGGGAAATGAACCACCAATTGGCAATGTCTCAAAAGTAGCAGCAAAATTTTTTAAAAGCCTTTCCTTTTGCCTTAAAAGCCCAGTGTGGAGGGATTTCTGGGCTACGATGCTCTGTAGTTGTCTGTTTATAGACAGAAACTAAATTTATTATAAATGCGTCCATTTTTTAAATGTCAGGATAATTTGTTTATAACGAGCTCTTGGTTGTTTTCTATTGGCCTTCTTTATTTGAATCTGTGGGAAAAGCTCTGATATTGGTTAGCATTTACTCTGTTATTGTGCTTGTAACATTTTTAGTAATGTCGTGTACTATATATTACATTTTATAGAGGATCATCACCTCAAACACCGTAGCTAATGTAGTGCTATTGAACCAAGTCTAAAGCAGTATCCCTCCACTACTGTCTTCCCTCACTGTGGAACAACCACATGGTATGGTAAGCATGATCACTGTGCATTAGTACAGTACATTTCACAAGAAACAGAGTGAATATAGTATATTTATCTTATAAATATATATTATATATTATCTTATCTGTATATAATCAACAGTTTATATAGTGCTATGCAGAGTATACTGCAGGAGGTCGTATTACTCCAGAGACCACAGTGTAGTCCCTTCACACTTTTCTTTCTCAGAAGTGCTGATGCTTTCAGAGAACTAGCAGAAAATTCTCATAGTAACAGGTTATCTGCTGTGTTGATACTGTATATTACTGTATACTGTATAATGTACTGTATATTGGGAATCTCCTGCATCTTTTACTTCGTAATGTTCAGTTTTTCCTCAGGACAACATAGACTCGTCTTTCTGTAAACTGGTGGCACAAACTTTGCAGGGGAGAAGTGTTTATGTGCTCTGAGTCCTCAACAAACCTACTTGGCTGGCCACAAGTTGTCCTCTATTTTTTATATTCGTACCCCATTGTACTGTATGTTAATGGCATATTTTAATCTATAACTCTGATTTAAACTGAAAGGTTCACAAAGTAGGGACCTTTTTGTGTCCTAATACTTAGGTTTTGCTGTGCTGTTACAATATCCCAAATGTAAAATAATCTCAAGCAGCAGCCTGAAAAATATTCTATACTTCACTAGAGTTCACACATTTTGAAAAAGGTGTAACACGAACAGGGCAGACTGGAGTCCATCACAGAGAGTGTGTTTGAATATATGTGTTCTGAGATCAGGCACGCTGAGTCAATGTTCCTTACTTGACAGCAGTACATTACATTAGCTTTGGCAAACTCATTACATGCATGCAAGTGAGAATCAGCAAGTCAATAAAACAGTTAAGCAGGTGGTTCTATAAAGATATTGCAGTGTGTGGGCTGGAAGGCCTCCAAGGTGAGTTGCTCTGTTCTGACAAATCAGTGTGCCCAGAAAGCCTTACCTGTGATGGTGGTGAAGTGAGATGGTGATGTCATGGTGATCATTGGAGGGGTGATATATTTTGCCTTTACTCCCTCGTGCACCAAGTAGTCCAGGTTTGGCGTTTCAACATCCTGGTCGTAGTCCCATCTAAAGCCATCGAAGGAAATCACCAGCAGCTTGTTGAAGGTCTTCCGTCTTGTGCCTGGTACTGGCCTGCCTTTCGCTTCCTGTCCAAGAAGGACAAGTGAGAGGAAAAACCACCTTGAAATCGTAGCCATGGGTGTGAGTGTGAGATGCGAAGGCTCAGAGAGACCTTGTCTGTCTGCCTCATGCCTTTTTATAGCAGGGAGAGGGCAGGAAGATAAGGTTATGTGTCAGAGTCTTAACTCCCCGAAGTGCTAAAACAGACCGCTGTGAGGTCTGGGGATGACCTTTGAGCTCATTTCTGCATGAATAATATTCTTCAGATGAGAAGGTTTTCTTACAAGGATAAATATGCAGCGCTTTTCTTCTTTAATGAATCTTATTGTAAGTTTTAGTATACGTTTATTAGAACTGGGTGTATTAGTACCCAGTAAACATATCCTATCTGCTTTATTTAAAAATGACTGAAAGTCATGGGCTCTCAGAATACCATAATGGAACATATAAATATGCTTAAAATTTAAAGTCCATTTTGGCTTTTCCTTAAATTTTGGTATAAAACAATCAGATCAGGTTATTTATGGTGATATCCAGTACTGACTGAATGACCGGTGTAATTTTTTCATCTTCATCCGCACTGAGAGTGTTCCATTTACAAGAACTCCTTTTATGAAACACCTGATCAAATGACCTTGCAAAGCTGTGAAGAGTGTAATTCCAGGGCCGCTAGTGATGCAGTATTCTGAAACTGCAGACTTGAAAGCGAATTTGTCATGACACAAACCACAGGGTTGTTCAAAATCTACCACAGAAACTTTCAAAACTACATCTACAAAAGCAGAAAATAAAATCCTTGCAAAAGGCTTTATAAGAACCCTATCTATATGACTTATGAAACTGATGCCCAGAGAATGGGCCCTCTGTAATTGAAACATTGAAGAATTCATGGTTGGATAGATTCAAGATGGATTTGATCCAACAGGCAGGAGCTGAGGGACCTGGACAGCACACTCATTACCTAAGGATGACAAATGAATATCTTCTTTTATTGACACTTGGAATGGCAAAAGTAACTGTACAGTACATTTGTAAAAACAGGCTGAACATGGACATGAATTCTGACTTGGTTTTTAATTCATTTTTATTTTGATTCATTTGTAGTATATCTCAGCATGACTAGGATGGTTTCAAAACAAACTTTCTTCAAAGCTCATATCCAGAGCAATTCAAGTTAAATAAAGAAATTTGGACCAGCCAGAAGTTCTAGCAGCATTTGTGTCCTTAACATCTTGAGCCACTATGATACTCAGACTGTTATGGACATAAGACATTTTATATGGCTCCATTACAGAGATAACTTATTGGCTTGTATGAAAACGTTTGTCTGTAAGTTATATTGGCCTAAATATTTCATGAAATATACATGCTGAGCAGTTACAGCAGAAAGTTCAGGATTACAATATTTACTTCTGTCCTAGTTCACCAAAATATAACCACAGGTGGAAATTTTGTCAATAAGATGGACTTTGCACTGTATTGTGTCAATTTACCGCATGTGTTTAAGGTAATACGCACGTTATCCATGACGGGGTGGAGGAAAAGAAAGGGGTATTGATGGGAAGGGATGTTATGTTTAGATCATTGGCTATTCCCTTCACGTTCATTTTCCAAATGATCGTTTTGGAAGATTTCTTATCGCCAAGAAGAAAGACAGTGAATTAGGAATGCTGCCACACTGCAGTATAAAAAATAAATGAGATGACAAATCTAATGAACAAAACCTTCCTATCCGTCATGACAGCAGCTGCAGAACAAATAAGATGTTTTGTGACAGCAGGACTGTTTTACACCACGCTGCATTCATTCTTTAGGAATAAATTATGAATCAGAAGGTCACAGCCCCATATACTGTATATCTGGGATATATGCTGAGAGAAGGAGAGAACCAAGTTGTGTTTTTTTTAGATGTTTTTCAGAGATTCATTGTCAAGATTTGGAAACGTGGGTCATAACTAAGCAGAGAGGCAGCAAAAGTTGGCAATAGTGTATAGGTCCTGTTGAGAACATCTGCATTTACTGTCCTGAGAGTCAGGGTATCTGGGTTACTAAACTACAGTACTCTTCACCTCACTACCTTCAGCACCCCATCCAAGTGGATCCCTAGGTCTCTTGAAATCATTTCATGCTTTCAGCTTGGAAAAGGAGTCCGCCTATAGCACGTCCTCTAGTTAGGAACCAGTATTTGAGAGGACTTTATTGAGAGCAACCTGTATTTTAGTCCTTAGGCTCCAAACTGCTGATGAAGCCTCCTTTTTAAGCCACCAACTGAGCAATCATTAAGCAATTTCGTTGCATTACTGTACTTCAACCATCTTTTTCCTTTTTCACAAGGCCTGGGTAGAAGGTGATGTGTCTGGAAGGGTGTTTGGCATTGACATACAGTACCAAGGATTTTATCTTACATCTGCCGTAGAGTACAGCATGCCTGTTCAGTTGTGCTTCTCACATGACCTTACACAGAAAAGCAGTATTCTTCTTGGGAAGGGTTTAAAAACGTTTTGTTTTGCAGTCAGTGAATCTGGAAGTTAATTGCCCAGGGGCTGTTGACTTGGGCCTTACAAGTCAAATGTAGAAAGTTTGCCAGCAGGCCTTGAAGGATGTCATTTGTATGCCTTGACCATGTAAACAATCCAGTCACACTGTTAACATTCCCTCCAAATTCATTTACATGTTTCACAGCACACTGTGACACCAAGGAGCAATTCACAGAATGCAGATAAAACATCTGCTTACATATCATTCAGTCCAGGGGTACGCAATATTCCTTTTAAAACATGCCAGATAATCTTTGTAAAATAAAAGACATGCACAAATTGTGCTGATTATTTACTGAAGAAGGCTTATTACTGATTATCACCTGAAGAAGGCTCCACGGGCGAAACGTTGTGTTCTCTTTCTTCTTCTTTTTTTCAGCATGGAATAAACCTATTACTTGTTCATTTACTTCTTTATTTGCTTCTGTTCACTCATCACTAACTATACATTCAGTTCCAGAAGTTCTGTCCTTGAATTTTCTTGTGCAAATAAGCAGTTTTGAGTAAATGTTCTATTTTCAATGGACCTAACGGAAATACCCCCAACATATTACTTTTTTTAAAGAAATGCATAGGCCCTGTCTGTAGCAAGTTATCTGTTATATGTTGTTTTCCTCCAGACCCAACTAGGGAATATTCATACGAAAGAAAAAAGAAAACTGACTGATGACTCAGTCTCTGTTTCCAAGTGTTGGACCAAACTTGTCCACTCAGTCTGTAGTGTGAAACCAGAACAGATGACATTGGATGGCACTTTGCAACCTGTTTCTCCTCAGATTAATGTTTTACCGATAAGATAAAGGATATGAGTAATCCAAGCTGTGATCTAATCACAGCTTCTTTGAAGACCAGTTTGCTGAAGCTTCCTGCAGTAATAACCACATGTAAATTCTATACACGAGGCTTCTCTTTTCCTCTTGACATGGCCATTCAGTCATAGGCCTGTTTACAGAGCACATGGACACTGCCCCTGCTGTGTTTTTTGTGTTTGTGTGTGGAAAACTTAATTAACAGATAATTGGGCTGAGAGAGACAGCTTTTGAAAATAAAAAACAAAACATTCCTCCTTTAAAAAAGTATCTGGTTTAGGCCCAGATGTCTGAGCTACCCTCAATCAAAGGCTCAAGAGCAATATTCCAACTCCTTATCACGGGTATCGAGCGTGTGATAAGCTATAAAGTGGTTAATGCATTTCAAAGTGGAATATTTATAGACCTCGTCTTATTTGCTTTCCTTTTAGTCAGTCTTTCCTCTGCCCTGCATTGGAAATCTGCTCTGCAAAGACTCCTTTGCAAGGCTAATGTGCTCTCTTCTTAACTATATTGTTATTAACTTTAATATAACACGCCTTTCATTATCGCTGCTCAATTATCTGATACACAAGGACAGCATTATAATGAAGACAGAATGTCTTTTTTATTGGGGCTGGTGAGAGAAATAGGAATTGGTGTGCATGTGTGTGTGGGGGTTAATCAACGTGCTGAGGCATGAATAACAATTGAAGGGTGGTGAAGTAACCATGCTGAATGATTTTTACTCCAGAAACCTGTGTGGTATTTAACTTGCTTCTAAAAGTGCTTTCAGTTGTACAGCAGACTGCATAAGGCAGATGGTATAAATACACGATCTTGTCTTCTGAAACAATTTACAAACCAGTGCCATTCATCCCACCTAGCCCTGTGGTATCTAGTATCTGTTTGACCTGAGGATCCCATCCTGCTGTTTTCTGAAAGAAGACAGGGTATTGGCTTCAATGAAATTAGCTTTGTTCCTAACTCCGACAAACCTTTGAATAAAAAGTACCTCCTGTTTTTAACTTTAAATGAACATTCCCTATCGTCCTCATATTACACTGTTGACCCTAAAGGCACCCATTAGATTGTTTTTTGAAGACCCCTCTGAGTCTTTTCTGTTCAAAACAAAAATGATTCAGTTTTTTGGTAGCCCGTCAGTGTAGAAAATTCCACATAAGCCTGGGAATATGGCTGGTTTCTCTTTTCTGGACTGATTTCAGAGCGCTGACGTCTTTTTGTAACACGATGTCCAAAATTGAACACACTATGCTAAATGCAGTCTAAGGCATCATTTAATTTGAACATAATTTGATTTATGATGTATGATTTTAATATCTCATAACTGTATGCCTGTTTTTACAGCTTCCCGTGTTGTTTACATGCAAATAATTTGGACATTTAATACTATTTTATAATTAAGGTAGGTATTACTGTGTGACACCTGAAGAAGGCTCCCCGGCCGAAACGTTGTGTTCTCTTTCTTCTTTTTTTCAGCATGGAATAAACCTATTTTATAATTAGCTCCTTAAAGCAAGTGTTTCCTATCTGATATCTTTAGTTTGTTACTACTTCTTAGATTTACTTCTCTGCACTTCCCTACATTGAATGTCATCTACCCGATTGTTACTTAGTCTTTAATTCTACTTATTTTTAATTTACTGTACTTTGCAATGTCTACAGTGATGGCTAACTTTCTCATTTTTGTATTACTTGCAAATATTATTTAATGTAGCAGCTATAGCAACAAAATCATGCATTAC